GATAGTAAAGCAAGAGAATAGTAAATTACTGGAAGAGGGGGAGTGATAACTCATGTAAGATATAATTTTTTATTCAAATTCTTAGTGAAGAAGGGATCTCTTGGAGTTTATAAGGCTATTCTTTTGCCCCCATCAAGTACTCTGTATACATTTTCCTAGGCTAAAACATCTACTTCTCCTGCTATTAAAATCTCCCCTTACTCCCATGTTTTCCCTCATTATTCTTGTCTACCCAAGGGCTTAACACTTTTCACTTAAAAATTTATCTTTATATAATTTTTTGGGACATAATGGTTGTGATAATAATATTGTCATCTTACAGTATTGCCAGACTTCTCCAGTGGGCAGGACATTTTTTAATTAGGCTTTTCCCCCTTCCACCTTTAAGATGGAGCTGGATCTAAAATTACGATTATTTGTATAGGAGTGGGGACCAGACCCCAGTTTTCTAGCTTGCAGGAACATTTTCTTTCTTAAACTACTTCATTCCAGACTGATGAGATCACATAGGGCCAACTGTACAGACAGTGGGCAGGATCATTTGTAAAACTTCACCTCAAATTTCTTAGAAGTTCATTTCAGTGTAAGATAATTCTCTTCTTTCATCCATTTAGCAAAAGGCAGGAAACGTAGGATAAACTTATTTTTTAAAAGGAAGTTAGTTCCATTTTCAAATGATATGCTCCATGTGTTTTTCTTCAACCCTCTGACAGTTTTTCAGCTGAAGCGCCTCTAAATGTAAAGTAATGGGCCAGTTGCTACTCTGAAAAAGCTATAATAAATACACTACAAGGTGCATAAAAGCTCTGAAAACAAAGGTGCATTTATTATACTTTTTCAGATACTCCACAGTGTTGAAGAAATTATTATGTATTTAAAAATTTATTTTGAATAAAAATTGTTAAGGATATATCACTCAAATGGTTGCAATTCCTAAAAGGCATATAAAGAAAATGATTATACATAATTCCAGGTCTGATACTTTACAAAACTAATCATATCTCTTTCCCACATTGAAGCATAATACCTCTTTATTCCAATGAGATAACCCATAATAAACTGGTATGGTGCATGTCCACCAATCCTAGCATTATTAGGATGTTCTCAATGTTGCCTAGTATGTAACCAGTTTAATTTCATCATTGTCAACAAATATCTACAGATGTGGTATTGCCCTTGATGCATGGATGCTTCCACTGGGTGATGAAGTGTATTCCAGAATTCCTCAGCCCCTCTTTTTTATCAACTCTGAATATTTCCAATATCCCGCTAATATCATAAAAATGAAAAAATGCTACTCACCTGATAAAGAAAGAAAGATGATTACAATCAGGTAAGTATTAGTGGCTTATTTCATTATCTGAAACAAACTTGAAGCTTGGATAAATAACAATAGATATCATTGGGTAACCATTACAGAATTGCTGAATTGGTTGTTTAGGCTTTCAATAAGGAGAGAATTAGATAATCTCAGTTTCTAAGAACATTTAGTCTTACTCTTTTTAAAATGGGAATGTTAATGTATATAGCATATATACTGGTTATATTCGTCTGTTCTTGCATTACTATATAGAAATACCTGAGACTGGGTAATTTATAAAGAAAAGAGATTTAATTGGCTCACAGTTCCGCAGCCTGTGCAGGAAGCATGATGCTGGCATCTGCTTGGCTTCTGGGGAGGCCTCGGGAAACTTACGATTATGTCAGAAGGCAACGGGGGCATGAACACTTCACATAGCCAGAGCAGGAGGAGGAGAGGGATGGGTGACGGTACTACACACTTTTAAATAACCAGGTCTCACAAGAACTCACTGTCACAATGACAGCACCAAGGGGGATGGTATGAAACCATGAGAAACTGCTCCCATGATCCAATCACCTCCCACCAGTCCCTACCTCTGACACTGGGGATTCTAGTTTGACATATGATTTGGTGGGGACACAGATCCAAACTATATCACTGGTAATTTTTAAAATTAGCATAATACTATATACTACTTTAATCTAAACATCAGAACATGCCTACAGATTTTTGGGGGTAGAGCTAGGGGGAAGTATTTCATCATTAAGCTGGGCTAGGAACTCTTTAAAGAAAAAGTCAGATTATCTATCGAGACCTGCAATATACTTACCTGTTGAGAAAGAATATGAGTTTATAAATTCCCCAAAGCTATAATGGGGTACCATCAAGTGTTGGCAATTCTTGTATCCTGGAGGTGAAAAAGAACTCCTGATAAGGTTTTGAACTCTCAATGAGATATTACAAAGCAAATATGGACCTGAACTCAGCCCTTTCCTATCTGAAATCTGGTTTATTTAGGAGAAGAGAAGAGGCAAGAAGGAAACATACAGAGTATAGGCAATAACCACTATGGGCTCAGAGAATAGAGGGGTCTCTTCCAACGGAAAAGGATTCATAGATGATACTAAAATTGGATTTTGTTTCGATCAAGAGAGTTTAGATAGTAAGGAAGGGTTTAGGTATTTCAGGCAAGGACTTCATTTAGCTTATGTGTATGTGCAAGTCTCTCTAATTCTAAAACGGAAATAATACAAAGCACCTAACCCTCCCTCAACCCTACTTCCTTGCTAGGCTCTCACCTTTTCTTTCTTCCCTTCTCTGCTAGAAACCGTCAAAGAATAACAAATATTAGTTATTGCATGTGCTTACTTCTACTCACTCTTTAAGTCTTATGGTCTAGCTTCCTGGGCCCCCACCGGCATGCCAAAACAAAGACACTAAAGGCCTGCTGCATGCCACACCAGCAGCCTCTTCAGAATCTCAACCTTGCTTTCTGCATCTGTTCAACATTGCTGACCACCCCTCTTCCTGCTCCCTTGGCTACTATGACCCTCCTCTTTACTGCTTCTCCTGTCATTAATACTGCTCCTTCCATTTCTCCTCCTCCAGCCAGTTCTCCACAGTCAGAGCATCCAAGCTTCTGCTCGCAATTCTCTTGTAATCCTGCCATTTATCTTCTTTATGTTTCTGACATTCGAGTTTCCTACTACAATGTGGGGAAGAGTGAGAGGGAGTTAAGTGGCCCTATTTTGAGCTTAGAAAACTAAGAGAATGATGGTTTGCTTATAAGAACCAGCAGAGTCAAGAGGCAGAGTAGCTTTGGGTGGGGCTGGGAAGATGTCTTTTAACTTCACAATTTCTTAGCTTGAGAACGGGGGAATCTGTTTATAGATGTCTGGCCACAAACTGGATGATTATATAACTTACATGATAACATAGATGAAACATTTGAAGTAGAAGAGATTGCAAAGTGAGAAAAGAATTGGTCTGGCAATAGAATCGTAAGGAATGCCTACTTTCAGCCAATGGGAAATGGGTGAAGAGCCAGTGAAGAACATAGAGTGGTTATTGTCAGAAGGGAAGGTGCAACGTTAAGGAAGTGAAAAGAAAAAAAGTGCAAGAAAGCCATCAAGTGTCAAATGTCCCAGTGGTGGTAGAAAATAAGGACTAAAAAAAGGCCATTCTATTTGACATTAGGCTATTGATGAATGTAGAGAGCAGTGCAAATGATATTTATAAAGTGCTTACAGTTTAAAACCGGGAAAGGTGTTGTTTGAAATCTATTTCCTCTAAGGCTTAAATCTAAAGTGATTTAAATTTAAAGTGACTAGCATCAAATACATACCATGTTCAGTGGTGAGGGCAGGTGGCAGGCTCTGGCTGTGAGTTCAGGGACCCTCAACACACAAATTGGAAGTATTCCAATTCACTAAAAAGCAAGAGTCATTTCTTCTAAAATCAAGATACCAAGCAAGACCAAGATTCTTTGTTTTTCTAGAGGGAAGATGAATATACTCTGGGATCCCTAAACAAACAGCCTGTGACCCTTGAAATACATCTAAGTAGATCAAATTACAAGTTTTATTTCTTCCTTGGTTTTCATTAAACAGACCAACAAGACCCGTATCTTTCTTACACCCTAACTAAAAAATTAATAATTTTATCAAACAATGTGACTTTTAAATGTCTTGTTTTCTTTTAGGGGTTCAGTCCATCAGAATTTTGCTGACTTCACTTTTGCAACTGGCAAAATAATTGGACGCATGCTCAAATTAAAGGGAGATATAGATTCAGATGTAGCGATTGATCTTAGCAACAAAGCTTCATTAGCATTCTTACAAAAGCATTTAGGTAAGAAACCAATATTTTTTCATGAAATAAACCAGATGAATCTCAGGACAAACCTGTCTATCTTAATACAGCTTTAGTACCATTTAAACTATTTCCAGTTGGTTTACAATGGAACAAAGCAGTAAATCAATTTGAAAACAGAAATTTGAGAGTCAATTTTGCTGCTTTACATCATATATATTATAGAAAGCAAACCCAACTGTTAAAGCTAATAGTCTTTGTATGAAGCCTAGAGTGGACTTCCATGTTGAGGATACTGACAGCAGGTTGCCTCACTCCTATCCCGTTTGCATTCAGCTGCTAAAGCAGCCATGGGGCAGCTGAAACAGAGCATTGTCTCTACCATCCTAATGCAACTTGGGTAATTTGTAAATCTGTATTGCCACCTAGGGGCACCAAACTGTTTAATGCTCTCAAAAGTTTAATATGTTCATTAACACTTTATATTTTACAGGACTTCATAAAGATTTTGATCAGTGGGACTGCTTGATTGAAGGAGATGATGAGAATCTTATCCCGGGGACCAACATTAATACAACCAATCAACACATCATGTTACAGAGCTCTTCAGGAACAGAGAATTAGAATTAGGATTAAAACAGTTTTAGAAGTCTTGCTTCAAAACTGCCTAAAATTGTGTGTGTGTGTGTGTGTGTGTGTGTGTGTGTGTGTGTGTGTGAGAGAGAGAGAGAGAGAGAGAGAGAGAGAGAGAAAGAGAGAGAGAGATTTTTAATGTATTTTCCCAAGGACTCATATTTTAAAATATAGGCTATACTGTAATCGTGATTGAAGCTTAGACTAAGAATTTTTTCCCTTTAGATGTAAAGAAAGAATACAGCATACAACGTTCATATCAGCCTAAATTTTAATTTTACAAAGATGTTTCCTTTTTAGTGTCGAAGTTAAAACATGCTTTTACATTACTTTGACAGACAAGTAGATTAAAACAGGCAAAATGCCAGTGAAAACCTGTTGCAATGATACAAGACCCTCTAAACATACAGTAAAAACAGAATTTCTTGCTTTTTATTATCTACTATGGGTGGTAGAGTTTAATTTTAGCAACACGATATTCTAGGTAGAATTTGGCAGCACTTTTCTTTGACTTTTGGTCATGGTAAGAAAAATTAGAACAAGCAAAAGCCCATTGTTTTAGCACAGGATTGGTGGTACTACACAAATTCAAATGATGATTAAATGAGGAGTGGAGAAGGGTTAAGAATATTAGAGATGAGGCAAAGGCAGTGGATTAGAGAAAATTGGTAATTTTTGGCATTTTCTTTAATTCTTTAAGGCATTCTACTTACTAAAGAAAGGTTCCATAGGTATTACAGCATATAGCAGGGATTCCAGTTAAAATACATTAGTACTCACACAAAGGCTGTGAAGGATAATAAAACATTCAGAATTACATTTAGCTTCTTCATATTCCAATTAATTTTATGTTTTCAATTCTATATGTAGTAGTAAAACAGAGTAACACAATTAAATGGAGGTAAAAATATAGCTTAAGAATTTATACACTTATAAATATGGGAATCATGGAAAATGATTTTATTTCCCAAGGGATATAAAAGTTTTTACCACTCATTTGGTACCCTAGTCCTATCTTAGTAGCGTCAGGTGCAAAGTCACTAATTCTGAGAAATTTTACCTCTGTAGCCATTCAATGTTTTAAAATAGGGAGTTAAACTCAGCTTGAAACTGAAGGCTTCCTATAATCTGACCCTAACACATCTTCTCTGAGCTTTGCTCCTGACAATTCACATTATATTGTCTATACGAGTAAGCCAAACTTGTTTATTCATTATTCCAGGAGTAATATACCCATCTACCTCAATTACTTTTAATGCAAACCTCTCTCCCTTCTACTTACTGAAATTATACCTGGTTTTTAAGGTTCATAATTCTATTTCCATTAGGCTTCAGAGTCTGATAATGCTTCACAGAGATACACCTTTACCCCAGTCTCATTTAGCAAACCTTTTTTCCCCATTTATTTTAGAAATAAACATTCCAACTGTATGGATGTGCCATTCAACACTTTTTTTTTTCTTACAATCTCTTTTGTTGGTGGTGCATGCTGATGCTGAAAGGAGAAAATAACTATTGAAAATATCTAATAAGTTAAGGTTAAAAAGAAATAACCTAACATAGTACACACTGAGTATTTTTCAGGGAAAAGAAACAATTACCAAATGCCTACACCTTTTCAGGGACTTTATATAAATTATTTCTAATCTTAAAAAACACTGCAAGAAAGGTTTTATCATCACCACTTTACAGATGAAGAAGATCAAATCTCAAAATATTACATAATTTGCCTATGTCACATATCTGTTAAGCAGCATACAGCTAAGATCTGTTTCCAAAAGCTAAGATCTATACTTTGCAAAATCATGTTTAAAAAGTCATGGGCTTTAAAGTTAGGTAGGTCTGGGCTTGATCAAGCCTCTGAGACTCATTAGCTATCTGACCTTAGGCAAGTAATTTAACCTCTCTATGAAGCTTCAATTTTCTCACCTATAAAATATGGATAATATTGATATGCACTTCAAAGTTGATGATTAAAGTGAAAAAATGCATTTAAAGTACAAGCTAAGTGACTAATACATAAGAACTAACATTTAATATTACTCTGCTTTCCCCAATCCTCCATTATAGAGGAGAGATGGAACCAAGTATATTTAAGAGTTCTATTTCCTTTTTAATAAACTGAGACCATCATATTAAGGATAAACTTTATTTAAGGATAAACTTTATTCAAATCTTGTATTAGAATACTTCCAAATTCAAACAGAATGTTAGTCAAATGTTTAGACAAACAGGCAAAGATTCAAAATCAAGACAAAAATTCTGAAGGAGATCCTGCTAAAAAGCTATCCTAAGTAGAATCAAATAATGTACTTGTCATGAGGCTTTATTTTTCTATTTTAATGTAAACACTGTATTTGAAAGGTACCAAAATAGTTTTTTGAAATGTAATGTGTTAGTGAACTGTTTAGCAAAATAAATCCTTCCAACTAATTAGAAACATAAGACAATAAAGAGGAAAGATCCCAGATCCGTATATACAACAGTGTCACTATAAATACACTCCACTGTCAACCTGAGACCTATTTTGTTTTCCACCTATATAAAAGTTTTTGAAAATAACAACTTCCTGTGGTTACATGTTTTCAATTTTCTCAAATATTCTGTCGGTCTGGGTAAGATGCCACTTGTTCGAGGGCAGCTTCTGACTGATTGGCCACAGCTATAGATCCACAATTAAATCTCCATCACCTCCAAACCCCTTTTCTGAAACAAAAAGAGAAAAACTTCAAACAGAAAGAAACATACAAACAGAAAAATTTATTTCCATGGGTGTTACCGTGACAAATGTAATGTTCTCTAAAAGGGAGGGGGGACAGATGAGTATTCTAGTTACTACAGGGCATTATTTCCATAGAAATAATGTTTTATTTTATTATTAATATTTTGGTTCTCACACTGTACCATCAAATCAAGTTTCTCTTAAAAATTATGAAATTGGCATATTTTATATTTTGCTACAATGGTGTGAACAAGGCTGATAATCAATTAGTTCTTTGTCCTTTTTGATTAATATATATTTTTCACATGATATTAAAGCTATCATGAGCTGATTTTATTCTCAACGTGCCTCATTTCTAAGAACATTGCATTATTTATGAACAAGAATGTGCAATACCAAGAACCAACCAATAATTTGAATCTTATATAAAGATTCAAAAATTCCAAGAGATTATTTAACAAAGATCATTTGAACATATGAGTTAATTAACAGATAAAATTCTTTAAAATGTGAATTGATCACATTCATAATTTAACTTTCAAGATCAATTAACAAATTTCCTATATTTCAAGAAATCCTCATTTTGGTTATTTATTCCCATAAGTATATTCAAACTTTTTTTACCTAAAGTGGTTTTTCTTCCCTGCTACCTATGTCCAGAGAAATTGATAAACCATTTTTGTTTGAGGGATTCAGCATAACAGTATTTTTAAGAGATTGTAATTCTGGGTGATAAAAGTATTTTGTTTTAAAAACACAAGTTACCTTTAATTGTGGTATCACCTGATGACATGAAGTAAAGATCTTTCCCTACTCTTTCGGATACAGCCTAACAAAAGGAATCTTTGAATTGCTATTGATTCTTTATCATGAGCACAAAATAATTCAAATCAGAAATAGAACCACAGATAAGCCAGAAAAGATGTAAACAACAAAATGTATTTTTATCAAAATTATGACAATCTGATTTTATAATGAGGATCACGTGAAGTACATTTTCTATTCTTCAAATACTCATTTCTCTAGAACATACCCCTGGAGCACTCTACATGGGGCGTAAAGTACCCTTTTCCAATGTTTAGCTCCCAAACCCCCAACAACTCTGGTAATTGGTGAAGGGGGGAGGCACATCATTGTTCAAGGGGCTGTTATTCAAACACGGTATCCATGTAGAGCCACAGATGCTTTATTAAAGACAATGAAAAGGGAAATATTTCTCCTATATTCCTTTTAACAACCAACAGCAACATGTGCATGCATTATGTGATACAGAAACTAATTAACAAGATACTCTTATGGTAAAATAAAATAACTCAGATGAGAAACCATTTTTTAAAAATGTAATTAGATTCCTAGATCATAGTGACTTGATGTATCATAAAAAACGTCATGCATAATACAATATTCACTTTGTAAGGAAAGTTAGCTCATTTGTAGACAGGTATCCAGATTTAAGAGCTTCCTCAAATTTGAGGGAAGGATATTTAAATCTCATTAGTAACTAAATCAAAAAATTTTAGAGCCTTACTCATAAGTAATTTCTATATGTCTGCTAACTGGCTTAGTCAAAGCCAGAGGTAGTTATCTATTTACTTATCTAGATACATGATTTTATGTTTACTTTTAATAGTCCTAAATAGTTCTTTTCTATGTGGCAGGCATAGAGAACTTTATCCAACTGAATCTTGTATGTACATATGTATGCATTTGGCTCTGGATTCTTCATAATTAATGGATGGAGACAACCTGAATGTAAAAAGTTTTAGTAAATACTGACGCAAAAAGTGTAGTAGGCTGTTATTTCTGACCTAAGCAAAAAAGTAATTAACATAATGTAAAGAGAGATGTTCAATGATTTTTAATAGTAAAAATTTCAAATGACCTAAATATCCAACACTACAGAAAATATTTACTACATTATGGTTCACTAGTGTCATGCAGCATTATTCAGCTATTAAATATTGTTTATGGCTTTCTGAGTGCAGCCAAGATGGAATAAGCTGACTATAACCTCTCTATCACTGATTACAATGAAAAATTCTAGACAGAATATAAAAAGCAACTACTCAAAGATTCAAAAGTGAACAGGAATAGGTAGATTAAGAATTAAAGTAAAAACGTGAATAATGACTCACAACAAGAGTGAGTTTCACAGGCCTTTTCTTTTTTTTACTTCTTTGTCTCCTGATTTTGATCTGAGGGTGGGCCAAATCAAAACTGCCCAGCTAGGGCAGACAGTAAAATTCTGAGAGAAATTTCTTATTTATAGTCAGGGGACAAGGGATAAAGGAACCCTGAATGCTAGAGAGTAAGAAATAGGTAGGAAATCTCTTTGCTGTATTGTGGTGTTATGTTTTTTTTCTGTTTTTCTTCTGGCCCTGCCCTGAGGGTGGCTAGCCCCAGTTACTACCTGGTGACAGCTATGGCAACATAGGCACCTACAAATGTAAGAGATGACCCATCTCTCTAGCCAGTGGAACCAGGAAAAGAGCTTTCTGTTGTCTGAAGAGTAGTAATAGGAGATTGTTTTTGTTATCTCTTTATCTGCTTCTTATGCGCAATCAAACAGAACTGTGTGGTGGAACAGAGGTTGAGAGAAAAATACTGTCTGGCTAGGGGATGAGAAAAAGGGGCCATTGGAGGCTGGATAAAAGAGGATCCTGGGAGCCAGAAAATGTGGAGAACATCTCAGAGAGGAAAAGAGTTGAAAATGTTTAACTCCTAATGCTACACGTGAACTGTAAGTCTCAGGATTGCCCCTGAGCTATGCACATGCAGAACAGAGCCAAATAAGCACAGCAAAGTCTCTGACACCTAACTACTATATAAACCACTGACCAAAGTCCATGACTACCCTGGGTGGCTTATGTACCGGGAGGATCTGAACAGCAAAGGCTTTGAAAACTAAACCGACAGGAGAATCACCAACTATAGAAGGAGAAACAGAACATGTGGTATGAATTGAAACCAGCTGATCATCTGCTATAACAAAAACTTCAACATTCTCCAGATTTTAACAGGACCCAAAGTCTTAAAACATAATATGCAAAATGTTCAGGATATAATCCAAAATTACCCCACATACAAAGAACCAAGAAAAGCTGACCATTTCTCTAGAGAAAAGAAAATCAACAGCTACAAACCCCAAGAGGACCAGATATTAAAACTATCAGACAAAGATTATGAAGTGAGAAGTTCAAGAAGTTCAACCAACCCCAAACAGGATAAATTCAAATGCCCAGACACATCATAATGTCATGGCAAATTGCCCACCATATCGTCTTAAATGAAGAAAATCAAAATATAAAACTACACATAGGATGAAATCAATTGTGTCTAAACTATGTAGATGCAATACTTACATTACACATAAACAGAAAAATTATAAAAGAAAACCAAACTGGTCAACCTACTTGTCTCTGGATGGGTATATTACAGGTGATTGTTACTTTCTCGTTTTTAATATTGCCATATTTCCCAGGTTTTCTGCATCTAATATGTATTTTATAAGAGTCATGAACACCAAAACATTTTCTAATCAAGGAGTAAAACATTAATAACAGTTTTCTCAGAGAATACTTGGCATAAGGACCAAAATCATCCATTTTGTTATTGCTGCTTTTAACTATTGTCACAGGATTTTTCTCCCATTTTTCCAAACGCAAGGGCTTTGGAAATAGTTTGTTAAATCACCTTTCAAAATGAAGAACAATGCTCTCACTAATTACTACTCATACAATTCCATACCTCAGGTGGACGCTTATCCGATTTGGGTATGCCATTCCAGACATTCTCAGGGTTCACTATCTCCTCCATACCATTTGAAAGGTTCAAAACCTACAGGAGAAAACAATTTTTTTTAAGTGTCCAATTCAAAAAAATAACTGATTTATGTACCAGAGCAATTATTTTAAAAATAATATACTATTATTATTATTTTGAGATAGGGTCTTGCTCTATTGCCCAGGCTGGAGGGCAGTGGCAGGATCACAGCTCACTGTTGCCTCGACCTCCTGGGCTCAAGGCAATCTGCCCACCTCAGCCTCCCAAATAACTGGGACTACAGGCGCACACCACCATGCCCAGCTAATTTTTTGTATTTTGGGTAGAGACAGGGTTTCACTATGCTGCCCACTCTGGTCTCAAAATCCTTGGCTCAAGCAATCTACCTGCTTTGGCCTCCCAAAATGCTGGGATTACAGGCATGAGCCACTGCACCTGGCCCTAAAATGAAATACTTTAAAAAACAATGAAAATGAATTTATTGAACTTCAACCTTATGTTTCAAACTCCATGCTACTTCAGTTTCCCAAACATATACAGAGTATCTATGACTGGTGATCAAAGATGGATAAAATTTCAACATCAAATAGTTCAAAATCTAGCAGAGGAAAGACCTCTAAGCAGATAATTACAATACACCATAGAAGTACAGACTTCAGCAGTAAGGGGTATAGGAATGTAATACAGAAATAAGGCCTTTTTGGGACGGGGGGAAGGTTGAGGACAAGGATAAATTTAGAAAACAACGTCAGTGAATGGCTCCCTGGTAGAGGCAATGGGTAAGTAAATTGGAATTAACCAGTTCGGTAACAGGATGGAATATAGGTAAAATAGAACTGAATTATTAAATATATCGAAACAGCAAGCAGATTGTATATCCTATGCCATGTTAATGAGCTTGACTTTTATGTTCCAGGTCAGGGGCTCTCCAATTTTAATGGAATATTAATGCACATTCTGGAATCCTAACCCCAGAAATTCTGAATTAGCAGGCCAGGCCAAGGCCTAGGAATCTATAATACAATTTAAAAAATACACCAGGTAATTCTCAAACAGGTGGTTTTCAAATCACGGGAGAAACACAATCAACTGGAAGTCCCTAATAAGTTTCACGCAATAATGATGTAAACAAATTTGCCTTTTACAAACTTCACCCTGACACCGTGGACCATCAATTTAAAGAAGACTAGAAGCAGCAAACAAAATAGAAGGTTATTAGAGGAATGTAGCTGTGAAATGACTCAACTAAGGTAGTGGCACTAGATATAAAAAATTCCAACTAAGAGGTAAGATGTGTAAAGTGTGGAACTAGATGACTAACAGAATTTAGAAAGAGTAAGAGAGATAGATGATACAGCCTAGGATGATTTCTTGCTACGATTCTTATATATGGAGATTTAAAATATTTGTGCATTACATCAAATTATCAGGGGGAACAAGCAGGTAAACATTTGTTCAATTGCATTCTCTAGTCTAACAGAGTCTGGTAAAATTTCCTTAATAGTCTGCAAATACATTTGGAGATAAAGAACTTAAACGTCACTTACCCTTGTTCCTTCTTCAGCTGTTTCTAAAATCTCACATTTAGACCATGTGTTTCTTAGACTTGACCACACAACACATTTAGATCCAACAGTAAAGGCTTTCAGAGTGTAGGTGTTCTGTGGTTGAGCTGCCAAATTGAATTAAGACTCAATGCATATCTCTTAATTCCTTAATGTAACATACACAAGCAAAGCATTTTCCTAATGTGCATTATTTCTATATCATCAATATCATGTAATTAGTACATTGATATGACCGTCTCCCTCAATTTTGTTTAAAATTCTTCTAGCGCCCCTCCCCCATATAATCTCTTGCTGCTTTTCTAAACCAACAAACCAAACAAAAAAATCACCATCATAAGGATGTGAATCTGATTTCTAACACTGAAAATCGCTAATAAAATATGGTACTATTAAGACAAGTGTCTTTTATACTTACAACAGCCATTTCTATAACAAAGCAGCGTGTTACAAATGAGCAGACATTCTTATCACAGAGTTAATACTTACTATTATTAAATGTGACAATGAGGAATAAATATCTAATACAAGGGAAATACTTAAATAACTTATGTGTACCCACAGGATGGCATACCATGCAATTAAAATATTTTGAAAGCATTTTTAAGGGACTAAAATGCAGGATTCAATACTGTATGATAGTATGATCTAAATTGTTTTTAAAACTATGCAGTAGACATACACAAAGATGGTAAAAGACAACAAAAAGAAAATACATCATGGTGTTAACATTGATCACTTTTTGTTGATTTTCATTCTCACTATTTCATTATTTTCCTTATTTTTACAATGGTTCAAATTTCATAATACAAAAATTGACATTTAAAAAGTATAGCATTGATTATAAAAAGCTAAAAGTTACCCATTTAAATTTTTTTTAAGTAGCAAAGAAAACAGCAGTAAAAATAATTTATAAAAATGTTAATATAATAAATGTTCTCCAAGATTTACTCATGACAAATTTTTTAATATAGGCTACCTAAATCTATTTTTTTTTGTTTGCGGGTTTCTAATGAATTGCAAGATCAATGCATGATACAGTTAAGTCTAAAAGACCCTGTTAAAATAATCCTTACTGTAAAGTTATGCCTACCATAGTACTTGGCAAGGGAATACCATGTTTTATAAAACTTACCAACACTTGCCCTCTTGATTATAAATGTGATTACATTTTAAATGTGATTACCTTTTGGAGACTCATAGATTTTAAGCATTCAATTTTTAAACACAAAACTAATATTTCAGCATTTCTTCCAGCATATAAAATTTTGCACTGATTTCACAATATATTTTCCCCAAGTTTAAAATGCCCTTCATAAAATCCAATCTGATTCACTTCCCAGGTTTTTAATCTTTCTTACAAAAAATTATTTTTTAGCAATCCATGTAACAATTATTCTCTTTTCTTTAAAACAAACAACTTTGGAAAGTCACTATGTTAAACTTAAAAGTAAAAGGACACTTTGGGAGGCTGAGGCAGGAGGATTGCTTGAGACCAGGAGTTTGAGACCAGCCTGGATAACACGACGAAACTGTCTCTACAAAAAATACAAAAATTAGCTGGGCGTGGTGGCACACGCCTGTAGTCCCAGCTACTCGGGAGGCTGGGCTGGGGTGGGAAGACCACTTGAGTCCGGGAGGCAGAGGCTGCTGTGAGCCAAGATCACACCACTGCACTTCAGCCTAGATGACAGAGCAAGACCTCACCTCAAACAAATAAACAAACAAACAAAATTACAAAAGTAAATGGGAAAAAAAATTCACATACCTGAGACATGATCTGGTAAACCATTATTGTGCTTGCTTCCATCACTGCTTTCTTCCTCAGGGAACAAAGGCATCAATGCTGAAATGTCATCCCTGTTTTTATACTCTATAAATTCTTCTTCATATATATTCATTTCAATCTGTGTTTTAGGATCACAATCTGCTCCATGTAGATGCAATGACATCCTGTGCTGGTCATCAAAAGATTCTACACAACTTGACTTTCTCACGTCCTCAGTACACATGCACTCTTGTGCTTTCTGACTAACTCCTAAAGACAAAGGATCCATCTTGTCATCTAAAGGCAGCTGGGCTGTAGGTAGCTCTAGTTCTGGTTGTTTCTCAGCTTCACAGGTGAGAGGAATCTGCCCTGTAAATAGCTCCAGGGCACCTTTTGTGACACACTCTTGGGAGAGTGGCATACTTGGTGGCACCAGGCTTAGCTCCTCTTTTTCTTCATCCACCACCAGAGAATTCTGTAACTCAATAGATTCCAGCTCTAAGAATTCTTTTGATTCATCATCAGGAGAAAGTGGCACCTCAAGTGAATTCAGTTCTAGTATCTCCTTTGTTTCATCACCATGTGGTAGTAATGTGTTAAATCCTGTAATTAGGTATTTATCATCAAACTCTGCTTTGTCAACCAGATGACACTGTACTTCACCTTCCAGTTCCTCAGTATCAATTTTATCTTTGCAGGGGTTTTCAAAACCTTCACAAATGTTATCAGTTTTAGGGTCACGGAAGTTACTTGGTTTGGTTCCGATATTGTTTACATCTTTTTCAGTTCTTTCAGCAAGCTCATCTGCCCGTTCCATATATATTTTATTTTGGACAGCTTTATTACTTAATTTCTTAAGTCCTACATCAAGATTGCAGGACCCAAGAGCCTGCTTTATCTCCGAGTCCGTATTTTCATAGGGAAGAGCACTTTTAGCAATACCAATCTTAGAATATTTCTCCATTTTCTCATTAATACTTTTACCTTTGCTTTTCAAGTCGACAATTGCTAAAGGGATATCACAAACATCCCTTCTGATTTCTAATATTGTTATTTCCAACACATCTTCTGTTACTATTTCATAGAAATAGTCATTTCCCTCTTGAGAACATACTCCTTCTGAAATGTTAAATCCCGAGAGGCAACATGGAAAGGCTTGCATGGGAACCGACAAAAGTTCAGAAGGAATGGCCCAGAGTGCTTTTGGGTCCACACAGTCTTCAACGTTTCCAAAGTCCACAAGCCTGACAGATACAAGATAATCTTCACAAATATTAGTGATAAGTGCTCTATAATAATGTCCATCTTCTCTGTATCTTACTATACAAGGATCTCCAATATAAGGACATGTGATACAATTTCTCCTGTCTACTACCTGTTCTCCAGCAGTCTGTACTTCTACTTCTAAATACTGAAGTTTCTCTGTATCAGCAAACTGACACCAAAAGTACTCGGGTCCATCTATCACAGTGGCATAAGCTCTTACCATTTTTTTTTCTGGATTATACCAGTTAAGAAATACTGAAGTGTCAACGTCTGATTTGTTAGCAGAGTTTGAACCGGCACCTTTAATTACTTGGGTAGAAAGTTCTATTTGAGATTTTTCACTGACAGCATACCTGCTAATCATGTCATCTGCTATGATCCCATGTTCATCAGCAAGAATAACTTCCCATCTGTCTCGAAATGTTACAAATTCACATCTTATTGCAGTCTCGCTGGTCCGTTGGGAAAAGTAATGCATCATTTTCTTAGAGTTTTTATTGTCAGGAACCCCAAATCCCTGCAAGGAGCAATGAATGCACAATCCTGGCAATACTGCATTAACAAGGTCAAGCCTACCTATTTTGTTAGTATGAACCACAGAAACATTGCCATAATCTATAAACTGCACAGAGAGAAGGTCATTGGGTTGCTGCTCCTTGACCACAGCACGATACCATAAATTGTCTTCTGGGAAAACAGCACATATCACATCTCCTCTTTGCAAAGGTGGACCTGCATAATATTCGGGCACTGTTTTAACACTGTTTAATCTCTCTGAAAGACGACTAATTTCAGATTCATCTTCTATTAGTTGAACATAAAAATCTGAAAGGTCATTTATATGAGAAACATATACAGTTGTTTTAAATCCAGGCATTATAGTCTTCTGTGGGAACTCACAAAATTTCAGAGGTAAATCTTTGTCACATGAATCTCCTAATTTTCTCTCTGAAAGAGTGGCTTCTACTCTTGCTGTTTTCAAGAGTGTCTCAGCACAAATTTCTTCTTTCTTTTCTGTTGTTAATGGAAACACTTGACTATTTTTATTTCCCACAGTGTCTTGATATTGAGTGACTAAGTTTGTTTTTGTTAAACTTTGTAAAAGTCTGAGTTCCTTGTATGATGAGTTGATCTTAGGTTTATATGACTGTTCCGAAATTTCTTTATTATGTAACTTGTTCCCTACTGATTTACTTAAATACTCTGTACATGGCAACTTCATATTCTCATTTTTTTCTGCAAGATTTTCAATTGTAGAAGGGAGCAGTTCACTTTCTTTTTTTCTTATTCTATCTTTGTAACTAAGTAGCCCCAACTTCTTATTAATACTAGCACTAACTTGAATATTATCACCATATAGTTCTATAATCAGTGTTCCATCTGGATCTTTTGCTACAACTAAAGCCTTCAGTGACTTATCTAAAATAGTCTCCTGAAACCACAACACCACTTCTTCTGGTATATGATCAGGAATATCAGATAATGAACATTTGACAGCTTGCATGGGCAAAAGTAAGACATCATATGCATCACTAGGTATTGGAAGCAGATCATCACTTGTTACTACATAAATATTCCCAAAATCAACAAAGAAGACTTTCTTTGGCTCTTTTTCTATTACTATGCCCCTATACCAGTTTCCATCAGTATATTTGGCAAGGCACAAGGTTCCAGGGTTCAAGGGAGATGTTTTTAAATTCAGCAAAACTTTACTTAGTTGTGTAATACTACATGACAACTGTTCTAAAATACTTGCATTTCTTGCCAGCTGGCAATAAAATGTCCAAGGGTCATCAATATGCGTTATATACACTAATTCTTCACTTCCAATTTTCATATCATGCGTAGAATAGAAGTAGGAATGTAGCTGAACAGAGGACTCCAAAGGCTTCTGAAGTTTTACTGGTCTCGCAAGTCTCTTTTCTACCAAGAAATGGCATGCGCTCTGAAAGGGTGTTAGCAAATCCACAATGTTAAACAGTTCTTCATTATTAATTGAAGCCAGAGCAAATACCGTACATTTTAATTCTAGATTTTTTTGCCATGCATTATCTACAAATTCATTGAAAGCTTGTATCGCCTTTACATCCCAAACAAAGGGATTTTGACCATTTGGTTGAATTAAATTATAAAGGCTGCACCTAAAAGCCTGAGCCTTAACCTTGAGAAATTCTTCACTAATTGAATAAATATTCTTCACAGATACCATTTCTCTGTCTCCATAATCTACAAATATTACATTGACATGCTCCACAGATTGTATCCCACTAATGAGCGCTCTGGACCATTGTCTGTTTACCGTTCGCTTAGCCAAACAAGCAGGGGTGTTTCCCTGGTGAGGAGCAGCTATATTTTTGCAATAGTACTGAATATCAGACATTAGAGTTTTAAGTCCTTGTATATTCCTGGTCAGCTGACACCAGAAATAGCCAGGGTTTTCAACATAAGACACTCTGACTTCTACTGTACTTCCAACTTCCAGCTCTCCTTTACAAGAGGAGCCTGGCTTAATTTCCAAGAAATTCTGTATAAGAGGAAAATAAACAGATGCTCTTTTCACTTTTTCCTGCACAACTGGTTTAGCTGAACCATTTGTCACAACTGTTGTGTCACTCAAAGCTTTTGAAACAGATGTGGTTTTATTCTCTCTCTTGGCTTTCTGCTCTCCTTCTCCAGTTTTGGCAAAAGGTATTTTGTTATTTTCCGTAGTAAAATGATTTGAAACATGCCCTGGGGAGTGGGCATTTACCGGGATATTTTCCTTTGTTTCAAATTCCTGATACTTGGCATATCCAGCTTGGGCAATTACCTTACTAATGTTTTCTTCCCCTGTTCTTGATTCATCAAGAATCTCAATAACATATTGATGATCCTGTTTATCAAGAATATGGATGACTAATTCTTTGTGGAGCACAGTCTTTTCAAAAAAGGAAACTGCCTCCTGGCTCCAAGTTTTTCCCAAAGGCCAAATATCAGCTAGGGTGCACTTCAGAGCCAATATTGGCAGCTGCCTAAACTGAGGAAGCAGCATCCTTACGTCATACCAGTCCACATTTTCCGAATTGCCTCGGTCAACTAAGAATACATCCACACTCTTGTCATCCAACTTGGTGACTATGGCCCTATAATAACCATTTTCTTTCCACTTGACACAGCAAAGGTCATCAGGTTCAGGTTTCAAAACTACACCATCCAGCTTACTGGCAGAGGAATAGAAACCGCACATTCTCCTCATCAGCTTACTGAAGGTGACATTGTGTTTCCTCAATCTAATCCAAAACTCAGAAGGATTTTTAACAAACTCTACCTGTGCATCGTAGAAGGCATTCATCTTTAACCTGATAGATCTTAAGGCTGGGAGTGAAATCTCTTCATCTACTTCTTCAGCAGGAGACTGAGACTGAGGAGATGTTTCTGGTTCCTCTTCCTCTGTTCCCTGGCTCTGAAGGACTCGGTCAGCCAAGCAATACGACTGTACTCCAAACACACGGTTCAGATTAATCCCATCTTCTCCATACAGGGTGACATAATATACATGCTCAAAGGAGCAATAAAATTCAATCTTTGCATTCACTGCCTTGCCCAGTATCAGCGCCTTCAGGTCACCAACCTGTGACCGAGACCAGCCTCTCCCACCATCCCAGAGTCCATACAAAGCGCAAGGGTAGGTCACCACTGGCATTCGAAAATATTCAGGCAACAGGTACCGAAGGCTACTGCAACTCACTAACTCCTTCCTTCCATAGTCCACGTGAAGCACCTGGGCACAGCGCTGGGGCCGAAAAGTCTCAAGCAAGAGTGCTCTGTACCAATGTCCATTCAGGCCACAGGATGCACACGGAGAGCCTGGCTTGTCTGGGCTCTCCTCCCTCTCCTCCCAGGTGGCGCTGGTGCAGTTCTCATCCCCTGTCCCTGTGGAACCCCGGTATACCTGGGCCATACTCTCAGAGAGGCGGTGGATCTCCTGCGAGAGGCTGCGGAGCTGGCAGTGAATGCGGTGGGGATGGCACACTTGGGTTACGACCACGGGCTCCGTCACGCCCAGCTGCAGCTGGGGATAGAAGTAATCCAGACCAGGCTGCTTTTGCTTGAGCGGGACTCGCGAGAGAACCGGGACCCCAGAGCCCACGCTAGCAGTGGCCGCTGTGAGATAGCGCTCCAGCAACGAACGGAAGAGGCTGTCGGGCACCCGCCGGGCCAGGCCCAGCTCCCGCATCTGTTGGAACACATCGGGCACCTCCAGGAGGACTAGGCGATGGAGCAGCAGCACGTCCAGGACGCACCCGTGCACCTCCTTGCCCTGAAGGTTGCTAAGGAAGTCCACGGCGTCGGCGGGCCAGTGCTGCGGCTCGCCCGCGCCCGCGCCGCAGCCTGCCGGCACCAGGCCTGCCAGCACGCAGCCCAGCACTTCCGAGGGCAAGTTGAAGAACTCTCTGCGCCCGGGCGCCAGCGAGCCTGCGCCGGCAGTGATGGTGCGGCCCTCGTCCAGCAGGAAGACACGGCTCTCCTGTGCCTGCCGGCTGAGCACGCGGCAGCGGTGCCACAGAAGCCCCACCTGCACCAGGCACAGCTCGCCGGGAGAGGCCGAGGCGCTGCCCAGCGCCCACTGGCCGCGCGTGGCCGCCGCTTCCTGGATTTCCCGGCTCAGCCGCAGGTACTCGCCCCGCCGCTCGCCCACCAGCCCCCACAGCTGCACCGGGATCACATCGGGATGCACGTCCACGAAGGATACCCGCAGGGCCAGCGAGGCCCCTGGCGCCGGCATTCCGGGCGTCGAGCACATCTTGACTGCGCGGTGTGGACCCCACTTCCGGAAATTCAGGGCCGCGCGTCAGGGCCTTGAAATCCTCCGCGCCGCCAGAAGGCGAGTCCCAGCCAAACTAGGTTCAAAGGACCCCGGGGAGGGGAAGGACGCCGGAGAGGCGTTTCCTCGGCAACCCCCCCTCCGGGACTCACGCAGCGGACTGGTAAGACCCAGTAGCCCCACCAACCGCCCGAGGTCGCGCCTACGGGCACGCATTTACTGCGCTCTGCGCCGCCACTTCCGGCCGCGGGGAGTGGGCGGGGCCAGTCGAGGCCTGGGGTTGGCCTAACGCCTAAGGGCCTAAGGAACTTTTTGGGACGTTCAGGAGACCCGGAAGTGGGAGGTTTTGGACACAACTTGCATCTCCTCAGAGCGCCTTTAACTCTGGAGGCCTCCGTGTGAGGGCCTGGCTCAGGGCTGCGGTGAGGACGGAACAGAGAGGGATTTCCTTTTCGTCCTCCCAACTACCAGGGATTGAGCACTGGGGGCCAGGCACGGTACTAGCCAGTGGCGTTCCCGACGAGAATCGGGAACGAGAAACACAGGAGACAATGGCACATTTCTAGGCGTTAAGGCCAGAACTCTCGGAGGGCCCCGGGCGCTGCCGCGGTGCTCCTGCTGGCTCATTGTGTCTGTGGACAGCCAGGTGCTCAGCCTCTATTCTTTAACCCTGTGTCATTATCTGAATTGATAGAGTTGATATGAGGTTAAAATGACGTATGAAAGTATATAGCGACTGGTACATATTTCCCTTCCCACACTTAGCTGATACGTGTTCCTTTGTTGCTTTGCTGGCTAACTCTGGCATCCCAATTTTGAAGGCATTTTCATTTACTCACAGAGCTAGCACAGAACTGGATTCATAAAAGGAGGCCAAGAGATATGGAATCAACATTCCTTCAAGCCCCTGCTGTATCTACTAAAATCTTAACAGGATAACCCTTTGAGGCCTCTGTTTGTTAAATGTCCAAACCTACATTTGGAATGGAAAAGTGCAGGTAAATTATGGGAAGTTTCCAGGATATGTCTACATTAGATTTTTGTTCATTTGCAAAGTTAGACACATCCCTGGAAGCTTCTTATAGTTTGCCTGCACTTTTCCTTCTACTCCATGTTTCGAAATGTTATTAAATACAAATACAATAAGGCAGTGCTTAAAATGACCCTTGCCTAACTGTAAATCTCAGTATCTTCCATCTGTCCAGATTAGAGGCACCATGTGCTTCCACATCACCCTATGCTTACTTTTTCATGGCACTTTTAACATTGTGTGGCAACTGTCTGATCTCTTATCATCCCGCCAGCCAACAGGTTCCGTTTGGCAAGTAGCGTTTGTTGGATTCTTGGAATCTAGCTTGGAGTGAAGGCAATTAATATTTGCTAAATGAATATGAATGAATGAATGAATGAATCCAATTTCTCTAAAAGCTTTGGCTTTTTCCTGAAGAACTCATCCTTGAAAACTCAGTTTTCCCATTTTTTTTCTAATTGTTTCATATTCATTATGGAAGAAAAACATTTTATTTAAAAACATCTAGCAAAACCTAGCTCAAATGTCTTTTCCTCATGACCCTACTATTCACCCTGGCAGAACTGGTTATTCCTTTTTTTTTTTTTAACATACTTCTATATTATCTATTGTATTTTGTAGCTCTCTATCTACCACAGTAGGAACATCTTAAAAGCAGGAACACTTCTCATTTATTTTTATGTTCTCGCTGCTTAGCCAGTGCTGGACTGTTAGCATCCAGTAAATTTTAACAAAAGGGTAAGCAATCTAACACTATGCCCTTTACAGTGGAAAGAAGGAGTTCATTATAAAATGGTCTTATGATCACTTGAAATTGTTTTATCATTACATAGAATAATGGAGACTTTAATCCATCGTCTATTTCAGGTTCATGTTGTATAACCAAACTCCTTTGTAGACCACAGGGTTGTAGATACTATGACTTACTTTTTCTATTTCATTTGTCCTCCAACCTCCTTTCATGGCTCATGGCCTTAATCCTAGGATGTCTGGGTGTATCACGTGGCCGTTGATCCGAATCCCTTACCCCCATCCACCCAGATGTTTCAAATGTCCCACTTTTTCTGTATCTGGAGCAGTTAGTGTTAGTTTGTTCTGTCTTGCTCTGCTGTTGGACAAGGACTTGGGTTAGTTTTGAAAATCAGGTCATTGCACTGTGAGGATGAAGATCCCCTCATATATCTCCCCTACTATATTAAGCAAAATATCTTGAGTTTTATAATAAATAAACTTTCCTCCCATTAGTCTTGAGAGGCCCTTGGTTTCGGAAAGGAAGGGAGAGGGGATATTCTTTTATTATTATTATTATACTTTAAGTTCTGGGACATATGTGCTGAACATGCAGGTTTGTTATATAGGTATACACATGCCATGATGGTTTGCTGCACCCATGAACCCGTCATCTACATTAGGTATTTCTCCTAATGCTATCCCTCCCCTATCCTTCTACCCGTTGACAGGCCCCGGTATGTGAAGTTTGGGAGACGGGATATTCTTATCCTAATATAAATATGTAAAGGATAAAGGGGGAAAGGATAAGGCCAGGGATGAAATATGTATGACAGGTGTTTGAATACTAATATTGTGAGCCACTTCAATATTTTTTATGGAAAAGATGCAGGAAAATTGGGCTAAAGAAATCATATTTATTTTGTGCTACCTTAGACCTCTGTATATAGAGAACTCTAAGTAGAAATGCAGTATACTTTACAGTCTATAGTTTCTATACTACTAGTTGGCCTTGTTTAAAGTTGCTTAGAAAAATTAACATTCACTGGATATTTTTAGAAAACAATTCAAGTAAGAAATACCCTGTTAGGATAATGAAAAAGACAAGCTATAGACAGGGAGAAAATATTTGCAAACCACATGTCTGACATAGGACTTGTATCTATAATAGATAAACGACTCTCAAAACTCAATAGTAAAAAAAAATAAATTTGGCAAAAGATATGAAGTAGCATTTCGCAGAGGAGGATGTACAGATGACAAAGAAGAATATGAAAATATATTCAATGTCATTAGTTATTAGACAAAAAAAAAAACCCACAATGTTATATCATTACATTCCATGATAATGACTAAGCTAAAAAATTGTGATAACACCAGTACTGGCAAGAATGTGAATCAACTGCATCACTTATGTTGCTGGTAAGAATGTAAAATGGTACAGCCACATTTTAAAAACTATGTACTTGCCATATGACTAAGAAATTGCATTTAGGCATTTATCCCAAATAAATGAAAACATGTTCATGCAAAAACCTGTACATGAATGTTAATAGCAACTATATTCCTAATAACCCTAAACTGAAAACAACCTAAATGCCTTTTGATGGGTAAATGGTTCAACAAACTGTGGTATATCAATACCAAAGGGTCCTACACAGCAATAACAAGGAAAATGAATTATTGATGTGAGCAACAACTTAGGAAGGTTCTCCATAGAATTTTACTGAGTGAAAAAAATAGTAAAAGGTTACATACTGCATTGTTCTATTTACATAATATTCTTAGATTAACAAATTATAGAGATGGAGAAAAGATTAGCGGCTTCCAGGAGTTAGGGATGGGGAAAAAAGGGATGAAAGTGCCTATAAAGGGATAGCATTAGCCATGGGCTGATGAACTGTTCTTTATCTTGTGTGTAGTGATAGTTATCAAAGCTACACAAAGGTGATGAAATTGCATGGAATCACACACACACACACACACACACACACACACACACAGAGAGAAATGTGTGCTTGTAAATGAGTGACTTTGGAATCTGTGGATTGTACCAATGTCAGTTTGCTCCTGGTTTTGATTGTGTACAACAGTTATGGTACATCCCTATACATTTTTTTGGAAACTTTATGAAAATCTAAAATTGTTTTTAAAAATTCTAAAAAATTAAGATTTCAGTGCCACAAAATACAATTTTATTAGAATACACACACAGACAATTCAAGACCAAATCATTATAGGGGGCAATGAGAGTAGAGAGAGCATAGTCTTTTGAGTTACAGCAGGATTGGCCTCCATTTGTAAGAGCCATGTAACCCAAGCAAATCATTTACCGTCTGTTTCCATATCTGAAAATGGATATAACGACATGCACCTTACACTTTGGTTCCAAGGACTGCATGAATTAATGTAAATACAGTTAACATGTTTGCATTAAATAAATACTTGAGATGCAACAAAACATAGTGGGAAAGGAAGGACTTTAGATTTTGAAAGTCCCTGTTCATCATCTCAGGGTGACATGGATAATAAAATTTTCTTGGTTAGGTTCTTCATCTCTAAAAATGGAACTATACTTAAATATGATGACTAAATGAGCCAATATGGGTAAAATACCCACCACAGGAAATGTAATAAGTTGTCGTTATTAGTAATATGAATGAAATTGAAACTTAAAAATATGTTCTCTCCTAAGATTCTTAAAGATTAAAAATCTTAAATTAGGTTTTTAAAAAATTTGATCTATTTAGGCATAATTTTTGTACAGTAAAACACTTTCATATTATACAGTTTGATGATATTTTGACAAATGTTTACAGTTTTATTCCCTTAAATAGTGTCTTTTGAAGAAAAGAGTTTGTAATTTTGATGAAATCAAATTATTCACACATTTTTCTTTTCTAAATGGTAGTTTATTTTGTTGTTATTGTTCCATTAAATCTTTTACTAACCCAAGGTGAAAAAACAAAACAAAACAAGAACTCACAAAAACAAACTTTCAGTGCTTTGTTTAGAAGTTTTATAATTTTAGCTCTTGTATTTAGGTCTATGATTCATTTTAACTTTACTTTTTGTAGTGAGGTAAGGATTGAGGATTTTATTTTTCCATATGGATATCCAATTGTTATATTGCCATTTGTTGCAAAGACTATACTATTCAGTTAAGTTATTGGCGCTTTTGCCAAAAATTAATTGACCATATGTATGTGAGTTTATTCTTTGACTCTTTATTCTGTTGCATCAATCTCTACATCTGTCTTTGTGCCAATACCCCTTTGTTTTGATTATTTTCTAAACTGCTTGAAAGCTAATCTTAAAATTAAGTAATATTAATCCTCTAACTTTGTTCTTTTTCCTCAAAATTGTTTCTGATTTTCTATATGTATTTTAGAATATACTTGTCAACTTCTGCAAAAAAAAAAAAATTGAAACCTGCTGGGGTTTTATTAGAATTTCATTGTAGGTAGAGATCAATTTGACAAGAATTAACTTTGGAGCAATACTGAGTCTTTTAATCCATGGACACAGTTCATTGCTCTACTAAAATCTTTAATTTCTCTCAGTAATGTTTTATATTTTTCAGTGAACAAATCTTGTATACTTTTGTTAGATTTATATCTAAGTTTTTAATGTTTTTATGCTATTGTAAATAATATTAATTTTTAAATATTTTAGTCCCCAGTTTTTCATTGCCAGTATATCAAAATATATTTTTGTATATTGGCCTTATATCTTGTGAATTTACTAGGACTTCATTATTAATTCTTGTAGCTTTTGGTATCCTTGAGGCTTTTTTATATACATAATTATATCATCTGTGAATAAAGGCAGTTCTATGTCTTCTTTTCTAATAAATGTGTCTTTTATTTCCTTTTCTTGGTTTACTGCAATGGCTAAGAACTTCAGTACAGATTAGAATAAAATGGTGAGAATTGATATTGCCTTGTTCCTGATTTAAGGAGAAAGTCTTTCACCAATACAATGTTAGCTATAGGTTTTACTTAGATCCTTTTTAACAGGATGAGGAAGTTTCTTTCTTTTTTTTTTTTTTTTTTTTTTGCTATTTTGTTGAGAATTTTTATCAAATACTATTGAATTTTATCAAATACTTTTTCACATTCTATTGATACATGTTTTGTTTGTTCTGTTAATTGGGTGAATTATATTGATTTTTTTAGGATGTTGAACTAATTTTGTATTCCCAGGATAAATCTCACTTAGTCATGATGTATTTATACTTTATATGATGCTGGATTTAATTTGCTAATATTTTTTCGCATCTATGCACATGGATTTTTAAATTTTCTGTTTATTGTGGTACAATATACATAAAACAAAACTTACTATTCAAACCATTTTTAAGTGTAGAGCTCAGTGGCATTAAATATATTCACACTGTTGTACAACCATTACCACCATCCATTTCGATTTTTTCATCTCCCAAACTGAAACTGTACCCATTAAACAACTACTCATGCCCTCCCCACTATTCTATATTGTCTTTATGAATTTCATTATTCTAGTACCTCAAGTAAAATCATGTATGTGTTCACTTTTGCCTGGCTTATTTCACTCAGCATAATGTTTTTAAGGTTCATCCATGCTGTAGCATGTATTTTCTTCCTTGTTATTACCTTCTTAACTCAGAACTATAACAGGACAAAACAAAACCCGTGATAACAAGCAATTAGGCACTTTAAAACATTTACTTTTAAAATCAGAATAACACAGTTTATTTACTCACATATATTCCTGTCTGTTACCAGATATTTTCAGCAAACAGACATCTTTAAGCATCTTCATCTGCTTTTATCAAACCTTGAAGTGGCTCCTGCTGCTGTTGACAATCACAGCAGCCTGTTGGGGGTAAAGTATGGGGAGAGAAAAAAATAATGTATTCCTCAAAATTCGGAAATAATTAAACACTTGAATGTGGGTAAAATGTGCATGTGTATGGCATCAATGAAGGCCAAATAAATGCTTTGTTTCTGTACATTTCCATACATGCTTTAAAATGAAGAATAATGTAAGCATATCACATATTTATTAACTGTTAGTCAATTATATATTATTTGAAACTATCAAATTCTAGATTTTATGGAATAGCTATTAAACTGATGAAGATGATCCTTAAAAATTATGACATGTTTTAAACACACATGACCATTTAAAAACAATTAAGCATTTAATATGGTAAAAAAATTTTATAAAATCAGAAATGTTATTGACCCAACATAATTATTCTGAAGAAGAGAACAAAATGATTTAATCATGTGTATAAATGTCTTTCTCCCCACTCCCCAAAAAACCCTCTCAATTCAACAGGTACCTTCAGAGTGGCTCCTATTTGAAGTTTATAAGGGATACAAAGATGTGTTACATGGTCCTTGCTTTCAAGCGATACATCTTGTGTAGGGGATGCTGATACGTACATCTATGTAGTAGGGGAAGCAATGGGAGAAAGGGGGTACTGAAGATACTGAAGGCTTCAGAGAGGAAATAGTAGGTGATCGTTTTAGATAACTGAGGTAGAATTTAATCAATACAAATAAAGATGACTAGGTGGTGGTGGTGGGAAGAAAGGTAGATGGAGGGAACAGAATAAACTACATAGAAAAGCAGCAAGTATAGAGCATCTCCAGGGAAATAATTAGAGCAATGCATTTCCAAGGAGGTAGGGTACAGGTAGCAGTGAAAGGTAAAAGTGAGAAAAATGGCCTGTAGTCAGATTGAGAAGGTCTTGGATATAGCATTAAAGGTTTTAATTTTTACTATGTGTGTATATAGGAGAAATTGAAGGTGAGAATATGCCCAAAGTTGCCCAATGGAAGATGAGGGTGCTTCCCTGTGAAGAATGGATTTCAGGATGAGACAGTCCAGACACATTAAGAACTCTGTATTATACTTTAAGGTCTGAATAATTTTTTCCCCTATCTTGAAATACGAGAAAATAAACCCAGGCAAAAAGAATCCTAATGAAATTTTAAAAATTCTATTTTTTTAAACATTACATCAATATAATGGCTCCCTTTAAGTATATACAGGTTAAGATTCTAGAGGTCAATCACTTCAGCATTTTTTTTTTCTTTCGCAGACAGTCTCCCTCTGTTGCCCAGGCTGGAGTGCAGTGGTGCAATCTCAGTTCACTGCAATCTCCGCCTCCCGAGTTCAAACAATTCTCCTGTCTCAGCCTCCTGAGTAGCTGGGACTATAGGCGCATGCCTGCACGCCCAGCTAATTTTTTGTATTTTAGTAGAGACGAGGGTTTCACTCTGTTGCCTAGGCTGGTCTTCAACTCCTGAGCTCAGGCATCTGCCCGCCTTGGCCTCCCAAAGTGCTGGGTTACAGGTGTGAGCCACCATGCTCGTCTCACTTCAGCTTTTAAGGAAATGGGAATTCAGAAGTGAAGGGACTTGATCCTAGTTATACTCTTCTGTCAGAATTAGAACCCAAAGTAGGATACTCTGGGTTCAGTCTTTCTTCCACATTATCTGGCATTCAATAATAATATATATTTGCTTGGTAGTCATCTTTAAAGAGTCTCAGTTTAATTGGAAAGCAAAGAATTACTTATTTTCCTTTCCAAAGAACTTGTTTTAACCATCAAGTATTAAAATTAACCATTTTTTTTCTAGGAAAGTCCTGAAGGAATTTGTTTTCATTAATAGAAAAAATATATGTAATTATAACAACTGTAAATAAATGTGCTTGAAAATTTGAAGATCACTGAGTAACAAATTCTTTTATATTTACATTGTCCTGAATTTTTTTATTAGCAAAGTAAAAGAGAAATTGCAGACTCATATGATAGTCACAGATTCTTAAAACAATAAAGATAAAATTAATTGATTCTTGTTATATGTAGCTGTAATCACTTTTTTCTTAATAGCAAATAAATGCTACTAAAGAGAGCAGAGATTTATATAAAAATGGAAGATGTACACCTGTCCACTAGTGGCTTACAATCAAATAGGATTTGGAGCACTTGAAAAAGACATGTTATTCCATATTGAAAGCAAACTTAATAAATGTTACCACTTTAATTATATATATAAATTAATTCATATATAATTTATCTTATTGTATAAATTAGTCTATAATTAGATATACTAATTCATTTATACAAATAAAAAACTGTACATAATTAAAAATAAGTATATGCATTTTCAGTAAGAAAAAAATCATTTGAGAGGAGAAAAAATGTAGAGAAATACCACATAGAGTGGTATTATAATAAGTAAGTGAGTTTAGAATTCTTAAGCCTGTGAGTATGGACACAAAAATTACTGAAATTTTAAATCCTTTTTATTTACTGAGAATTATTTTGGAAAATGAGTTGATAATTCCGAGTTGGCAAAAATAAGCAGTGTTCCAAGATAATCAGTAGATATGATTTCATCAGAAAATTATGAATGTGATTGGATAAGTGATGGGTATACTGGATTTGGTTAGATTATAGAAGGTCTTAATGTTCAAGCTAAAGCATGGTGACTCCATTCTAAAATGTATGCTAGAGGCAATTCAGATTCATTTAAAATGTATGAGACAAAAATGCCATAAGGAAAAATCTGTTTTTAGAAGACTTTACTGGTTTGTGACCATGATATAAGAGCCTTCCTTGATACCTAATTAGTGAACAATAACTCTCAGTCATAATAATCATATTAATTAGGGGAACTGTGTTTTTATCCTGGCTCTGCTACTAAGTCACTCATGAGCATGAACAACTCTACTCTGAATCTCAGTTTACTAACATGTGAAATGGGAAGGTTGAATCAGATAATCTCAAGGAGTCATTTCAGGTTAAAAATTCCTGAAATTCATGTTGATCCAGATCCCAAGGAATGATGTCAGTGCATAAGCAGTGTTTTCATCCCAACTCCCCAACCCCCCAAAGAATAAAGCTAAATCAATTGTTCATGGTCCAGTTTGGATGTAATTATTTTGATCCAGTCTTTACTTAATTTTAAAAATTACAAAACATAAAAAAACAAAATTTTCCCAAAGTGGTTCAATGCAGAACATGTGGGAAGTTAAGCATATATATATATATATAATATTTTACAATGCAATTACATATTGACAAATTCAATGAAAAAGTAGACCATCTAAATATTTTAAGAGATTAAACTTCACATTCTCTGCAACTAGAAAAACAATAAGCTACTGCATATCAGTACATGACATTCAAATATATTTTAAAGTGTACTTTCCCCTCTTAAAATGGCAGTGAGTATACATTAGTGCAACCACAAAGCACTTGTAAACTTTTTTCTGTTCAACATCATCCATGTCCATCAGAACCAATTCTGTTTGGCTGGCTCCAAGGCCTTTCTTGGGCCTGAGCTTCATGTTTTTCTATTTTAACAGTTACAGGCTTTATCCATAACCGCAGCCAACCATCCAGAAATGCCCACCGTCTGAGGCTGGGAGAGCTGGTGGTATATAGCTGAATTTGAAGAACTCTTTTACCTTTCTAAAATAAGAACATGGATTTGATTCAAAGATTGGAGACATAACTGTATACCATAAACAGATTTTTACTTATCACTTTTTAGGCAAGGAGCTTCGCTAAACTGAGTAAGAGTCAGGCCATTGGCAGTTTTAGTGTGATTTGTGAGTGCTCTCTCTGCCTCTCTAGAGCCCCTAGTGTCAGGTAAGGGAGATAAGAAAGGACGCATGACTATCTGCCTTGCTTTTAAAATACCAATGAAAGGCTGATGGTTAACAAAAGGTGCTTTATAAAAGGATCTATACAGCTGAGTTTTAATCAAATAAGTTGTAGTTCTTAATATATTACAATTCTTGAGAGCTAGCAATATATCTGGCTTGTAACAGACTATGTAACAAGGCAAATGCTCTGCTCTTTTTTCATCAAGATTCTGTGTGTGGCTGTCAGAGGAAGTCATTAGCATGTGCAGTGGAGTGCTAACCAATTAACACATCTAATGAGAGGGTACTGACAGCAGCCTCTTTTCTTGAAATTCAAACATCATTTCAACTTGATTTTTTTAATCTTTCTGACAAGAAGTACAACTTCCTTCAATACTAGGGAAACTCAAAATGTTTATTCATTAATTTCCATTCACCTCCCTTTAATTTACAATATGTACACTTTAACAATGACAGAAAAGTGAATTATCAAACTTCAATTATAAATACTGACATAACAGGTTAAATGTATTTCTTAAGCACTACGTATATGTTCTTCCACATTCCTATCATCTACGTCAGATCTGAGATGCTGGCTCCCTCCTGGTACTCCTCCTCTAAGCAGGCTCTTCAGCATAGAATAGCAACTCAAGGGCCAAACCTTCTTGCCCAAGGTGAAAGTGGTCAGGCTTCGATTCTTCTTTAGAAAATGCTGTGCGGGGTCTCATTGGATGGCCTTGTGAGATCCGACCAGATCACTTTTGGACAAAAAGAGGAGTCAAAGAGAACTTGGGTTTCCAGAAAAAAAATAAAGTGCTGCCCCCTATAAATCAGTCTCTGTGGAATAGGTGTCTTCCTAAAGAGGTAGAAATAATAGGGGGTATGTGTTGCAGATGCCCATATTTCAATAATACTGAACACTGTATCTTTAAGGGCTGCATCTTTAGGGGTTTAAAATGGACTGACTCCACTCATCTCTCTGATTTTTTCATAAGTAAGCCAGAACACCATTGACCAAGGGGTCTGAAAGATTAACCAAAGAAGTTAGTGCATATTTCAAAGCAATTATAAATATTCTACATATGTGCATACATATATTTGAATGACAAAGTCATTTTCCATCCACTTAGGCTGAAAACAAATATTTTGGTATTTCACCTTTGTAAAGGACTTTATAATTTACAAAGCATTTTTATGTCTTATTTATCACAGATTTCTCTAAACAACATCTTACAATAGAAAGGAAAGATATTAATATCCCTGTTTTTCAAATGAGACCACTGAGGCTTAGCAGTCAAATGCCTTTTGGCATGTTATAGAGCTAGACCACAGGCTTCTGTTTTCCATTCTCAGAGTTCTTTTTATTGAACCATTACTGGCTAAAGGGCTGGGACTCAAGATGCCTGAATTCTAGGCAGGCTTTTCTATATCTAGTTTGTATATGGAGCATAAAAATAAGTCACTTTAGAACTTGAAAGTGAGGAAGGTGAAAGATTATCCTTGGCGATTTAGGTCACAAAACCAACACCTGATGTCTCACAACATTTACATAAAAATTCACATTAAATATAGAAAAGCCCTTCCAGTTCAGAAAGCATTGTCTTTAACTTGAATGAAGGTATAGCTACATCTAAAGGAATTATAAAAGAATAAGGGTTAGAAGAAGACATAAATGCTGAGGATGTAAACAGTAAAGATACAGAGGGAAATCACAAGGTAAACACCGGAACAGAGAATGCCTTGGATCTAATAATTCCTGTCTAATTCAGTTCTAATCAAAGTTGAACAGAGAGCAGCTCTATCATTCTAGAGTAGATAAATAAGCTTAAGCAATTAGAAAATAAAATGTATTTAGTTTTGTTTGTAAAGCAATGTTTATCTCATATTTGTTTGGAAATACTGAGCATGTTATATTAGTAAACTGAGAATTCACTAAGTAGTGGATTTAGGAGAATATATCTTGGTTATTTAAAGGTATGATGACATACATGAAATAAGGAATATAAAGCTATGATGATACCATATTCTTGTGACAACAAAAATGAAGTAAACGAATATAACTGGAGTTGGATGAAGAAGGTAGAGGTCTTAGTTAAGAACCCCTATGCAATCATTCTTAATTGCTGTGGTAATCAATCTTCTTCTTCATGTTAATGACATTATAGCAACAAAAACTATAGGCAAATGAAATAAGTACTAACCAGGGACTGAGCAAAGCAAGGTCATAGTACCTCTATCCAGTAGAAGGGATCAGGATAGAGTTTAGCTGGATTTTGAATAGAGTTTTTCTTAAAGAGTAGGAGATCATATAGCCAAAGAATGTGGGTGGTATATAAATGGGATTTACCAAGCCTCTGTACAGGAGTAGCACATGTGGGCACTATGTTTGCTTGCTGATTTTCTCACTGGTCTAGCTATGAGCATTGCAAATAATACAAGTGTATATGAACCTATATTGTTTCTTTTGGTCTATCTTTTGCCATAAGGCTGGAGAAAAACCAGAAGCAGAGTCCCTTTTCATGCCTGCTACTGTGGAGCTGAACACATAAGAGCTCTCTTGGGTTGATTAAGTTTACAAATAAGCTCCTCTTGTTCTGATTCTGTGTTAAGAAAGAAACCTTCTAATTATTACTTGAGTACCCATATAGCTTGAATTTAGGAAAAAACACATTGACCAGAGGACTTGAACATCTAGATCACTTGCCAAATGTGTCGTGCGATGTGAACGAGCCAACTATTGTGGCCTGATCATCAGTGTCAATGAGATCAGCTGAGTCAAATCTATATTTTCAAGGCCAATTTACTTGGAAATGCTCATGAACTAGGTTTCTGTGCTCCGGGTCATGCACTGTGGCAAATCAACCAGGCAGTGACTTTCTGGTGATCTCTGGTGGTTAGCTAGCCTTTCTTTAAATACCCCTCCACTGCGAGGAATGTCTCTTCAATTTTAAAACTTCTGTAGCTAGCTGCAGGATGTTGAGCAAATCAGTATATTGTGTTAGTAAGGAGCATAACGTTTTGAGTGGAACAGATCTGAGGTCAATTCCCAGCTCTGCCACATACTAGCTACATGAACTTGGGCAAGCTTCTTATATTTTGAGCCATGATTTTCTTATCTGAAAAATAATGAGGATAATACTGCTTGTTTTGCTAGGTTCTTATACAGTTTAAAAAAGTAATGTATGTAGAGCTTTGCACGTATTAAGTACTCTTTTTTGTTATTTATACTTCCTGAGTCATATGTATAAAGACAAAGGATTAAACAAAGTGGTCCCATCCTTTGTACTTAAATATTCTACCTGCCCCTCATCCCTTCTGACCCTGATTTTGTGTTTCTGCAATGGTCTCACTCATCCTCCTAAAGAAACACAAGAAGCCCCATTTGCTTTTTTCTGCCCCTCACCTTCTGCATATAATCAGTTACTAAGTCCTATGGAGTTAACCATAAATGTCCCTAAAATTTATCTTCTCTCCATTTCTACAGTCATCTAACTGGTTAGATCATTGCTAAAACTTCTTTTCTTATATCCTAGCTTTCAATGCATCTACTATACGGCTTCCAAAGTAATCTTGCTGTCAAACAAACCTTAGCACATTGCTCCCGGGCTTAAGCAGGTGCTCCATAGAGTTCATCTAAACTACTAGGCTTGGCCCACAAGGTTCTTCCCAACTTGGTCCTTAAGTACTTCTCTAACCTTATCTCCTACCATCTCCCCTATGAGGACCTATTCTTCAACCAGACTGAATTTTCTGTAGTTCCTCAAACATAACAGGCCTACACATGACATGATCCCTATGCTCATGTTGTACCCTTGTATTTCTCTTGACAAATGCCTATTGATGCCTCAAAGCCCAGATCAAATATCAGCTCTGTGAAGCTTCTTGTGACTTTCCAGATTTAGTCATAGCCATTTCTACTCCACTCTCTGTGTTCCCACAGAGTACTGTTCATACCACTGGTAGAGCAAGAATACAACCTCCTTAATAAGGCTATGTTATCGGATGTCAGGCCGCCTGGGTTTGATGCCCTGAACCACTCACCTGGCCAAGCTATTTAGACTTTTGATGTTTTTTGTTTCCTCCTCTATAAAAGAGGGATATGATAGTAACCTACAGCACAGATTGTTGGGAGAATTCAATGGGTTAAGCCATGAAAATGATTAGCACAATATTGGCCATATACCAAGTGATTCAGTAGTATTTATTTAGTAATTTTTATTATTTCTGTAATTTTAACTACTTACATGTTTAACTTCTACATCTCATTGTAAGCTCCTCTAGTGCAAAGACTATGTTATTCCTCAGTGTTACCAGCACTTATAACAGTGCCTGGTTTATGCAGGCCAAATCAAACTTTACCTTTCCAGTAAGAAACAGCCACAGTTTTGACATAATTTCAAGGTATAATCAAAACCACCAAAATAATATCTCAAACTCGAGTATACTTTTATCAGGTATTGCCAAGGGCTTTGGCTGTTAATTTCATATTAATACACAAATACCTACTATTCCTTGATGATATCATTTATTACCAACATTTCAATTACTATCTATATGTGGAAAATGCTCAAATCTAAACCTCCATCCTTGTATTCTCTCCTAAGACCCAGACCAGTATATTCAGTTTGTCATCCAGACATCTCTGCTTGGATGTCCTATGGGTATCCAAAATTTCACAGGTCTTAAACTAACCTTATTTTACCTACAGATCTTCTTCCCTGCAAATGATCCTTGTTTTAGGAAATTACATCATCCTCCTCCTTATCTTCTCCAACCATTCTCCTATCCCCATCCAATTAGTCATGTTTCTATTCCCCTTCTACCTCCTAAACATGTTTGTAGTCCATCTTCTGTTCCCACTGTCATACTCTTGTCCAAGCCACCATTATCTCTCATATATCATTACTCCTGGTCTTTTCCCAATCCACATGACAGGCAGAACAAATTTTCTAAAAATGCAGGTTTCTTCAAACCGGTGCCCATTACTCTTCTGGCTCATATGTCCTTCCCAGTGTGGTGTCTGCCTCTCTCTGGTCTCACCCTTTGACTCTCTCCATGAGGTCTCTCTCTGTGGCTTGGCCTGCTAGGTTTCCTTGAACTCACCCTGCTCTCTGTCCACTCCAACTGTCCCTCTATAGAGAATGTTTTTTTTCCTGCCCTCTTTACCTGGCTAAGTCCTACTCATTTTGCAAATCTAAATTCAAAAGTCCATTCTCCAGGGAGGTTTTCCTAATTGCCAGTTTAGGCTGTACTTATTTGCTATATATTTCTATAGCACTATGCACTCTTCCCATAACATTTATCACTTATAGTTTCTTATTCAAAACTGAGACCTCAGGACAGGGCTTTGCATGATGTAGGTACTCAATTAAAAAGATACATGTAATATTATATATAATTGTATTATAATATATTGTGTTAATTTTTGATTGCTTGAATTTCTAAACCTATAACTCACCCATTCTTTCAAATGTTTTAACTTATAGAAAAGTCAGCACTTTGTTTTTATTATATTTGCTATATTGCTTAAACAAGTCTAATTCTACATTATAGATTAGAATTCTACATTTTATTATATTTTCTATATTGCTTAAACAAGTCTAATTCTATATCTTAGTTCACTGCAATGAAAAATAACATCTAAACCAAATAAAAATGACATAATGTTTTCTTATGAAGCCGAGTTTTGTAGTAATAAATATTAATGGGTAATGTAACATTTGCTATCAAAGTAACAAATTTTTTTGAAACAGTAAATTTTTTTGTAGGAGAGATCTCTAGTGTAAAATCTGTATATGTGTTCCAAAATATTATATTAAAATATAACTAAATGGAATACTAAAAATTTTACATGACAGAAAATCTATTTACTGGCTTTATAACAAGACTATCAACTTATTCATTAATGGAGGTAACTTATTTTATCTTACTCTACCACAGAAGGCAAGATAACTCTAAGGAGAGGTGAAAGGAAATAAAAGAAGATTTAAAAAAGAAAGGACTTTGATTTGGGGGGCAGGGCCATGCTTCAAACCAGAAGAGAAAAGGGAAAATGCTTATAGATTAAAAGTAATTTAAGTACAAAGAAAAAAAAAAAAAACAAAGGAAGTAAACCTAACTTTACCATTCTCAGCCAAGATGGTAAAAAGCCTTTATATAGACTCATGAATCCTTCACCTTGAACTGCCTGAATCAAGCAGTCAGTTGATGATTTATACAGAAGTCCCCTACAAAGGAAACAAGATCCTTTTGTTAATTTTTTTCTGTGTAAAATATATATATATTCATAAAATTAAGTTGTCTAAGGAATCTTACAAAAATTAAATATTGGCTGGGCACAGTGGCTCACGCCTGTAATCCCAGCACTTTGGGAGGCCAAGGTGGGCAGATCATGAGATCAGGAGATTGAGGTCATCCTGGCTCACACGGTGAAACCCCGTCTCTACTAAAAAAAATAAAAAAAATTAGCTGGGCATGGTGGCGGGCACCAGTAGTCCCAGCTACTCAGGAGGCCAAGGCAGGAAAATGGTTTGAACCTGGGAGACGGAGCTTGCAGTGAGCGGGAGATTCCACCACTACACTCCAGCCTGGGTGACAGAGCGAGACTCCGTCTCAAAAAATATATATATATATTTTCTGCTAGTTTAGAAAAATATTTGTGGTTCTACAGATAGAGATAACGTCTTTTGATCTTAAAGATATTTTCAAGGTTAACTCTTCTGATTCATGCCACCCTTGGTCTTATACTTAGAATTCACTCTATCTTTTTTCTTCCACAGAGAACATACTGTTTCATATCGAATCAAATTCTCCATGTTATCTACTCAAGTCATAAGCTTCTGAAGAAAGTGCTGTGTAAATTCTCAGCAGAATATGCTTTCAACAATTCTTTAAAAACAATAAAGTCCTAATAAAAACCTTGTGTCTAAATAATATGATTGTTAATTAGCTTATCTCCCCAAAGGCTTGTCACTTTTTCATCAAAGAGCAGGTAACTGCATAAAAACAATGCTCTTAATTTTCTCAAAAAACACACGAACACATTTCTATCAATAAAAAATGCAAAGATGCATCTTTGAAAAACAATGGTATTACAGACATTCAAGAACATGGATACTGAAGACTTTTTACTTACCTTCCTTGTTTATCTCGTGGTTGATTCATTATTCTGCTTTTGATGACATCAGCTGGTGTTCCCAGAATAGAAGCTACCAGTCCAGAACATAAACTATAAATACAAATAAATGAAATTGAAAGATGATATGTAGTAGTTTCTAGCTTAGGAAAGGGAATGTGGTATTCAGAAAGAATATACTACTAAATGTATTCTTATAAGCTTCATAATGCTCTTTTTGCTTAAAATTAATGCTAAATTAATTAAAGAGGTAGAAAAAAAAATCAAAAACAAAAAGAATGTCAGTTAACAAACAGGCATTGTGTACCTGCTGGTGCCAAGCATTCTTCTAGGCAATGAACAAGACAGGTAAGACCCTGCCCTTGAGGAGCTTATACTTCACTTGGGAAAAGGCAGAAGTGAAATAAATAATTTCAGAAGCTGACAAAAGCTATGAAAAAAAACATGGGGAAGTGTGACAGGGAGCAAATGGGTGACAGGCAGTCAGGGAAAGCTCCTGGGGTGACAGCAGAACTGAGTGGTCAAAAAGGACACATCTGTATGAAGACCTGCAGGAAGAAGGTTACATGAAGATAGAACAGTACATGCAAAAGCCCCGAGTCAGTAATACTCTCGGAGTGATTAAATTCACACACACACACACACACACACACACACACACACTCCTACCTCCAAATATTTGACTTGACACTATTATATTTACTTTTAGGGTCATCTAAATAGCATAGGAAGTTTTAGAATTTGGAAACAAGATCAGAAGCTAAATGAAATCACTATAATGTCAAGGACAGTAGACATCTATAAAATAAGTCATTCTAATGGATAATTTAAAATTGTGTTGCAAAGAGATCAAGGTACTGCTCCTTCCTGGAAAGGCCTTCTTCCTGTCCCTTTCTGTGAAGAGACACAGCTTTTCAAAACCCTTGTCTATTTCTACCTCCTTTGTGGATCCTTCCAAGTGGTTTTTTCCTTCCTCTGAACCCTGTAGTAACTAGTTGCTTCCTTTTAGCATTTCCTGTAGAGTGTTTTTATATTTGTCTTGTTTTCCTTGTTGGTAAGTTCCCTGGGTAGGAATTGAGTTTACTCCTTTGATGCCCACTGCAGAGCCCTGCCCAGTGCCTTTAACATAAAAGGCACTCAAACATATCTGTTGAGTTGGAGAGTCCATCATCATAGCCTGTTCCTGGGATGGCTCCATCAAGGTGCAAATATTTTGAGAAGTTTAATCCAAAACATCCTACAACTGTCTCTTCCCCATTCTAACTGCAACAAACTTTAAGAAATTCATCTTTATAAATATACTCTTCTCTAAAGGTGATGCCAGTACAATCCCAATCAAATGAGTCTAAAGAATTTATGCCAAATATAGAAGAAAAAGTTATTAAAAAAAAAAAAAAAAACAAAAAAAAAACCAGAGTCCAACTAAAACAATCCTTACCTTGATAAACCATGAGTCATGATATTGTCCTCAAGTGGTGTATTCAATACCAAGTAGTGTTTCACTGTATCGTAAGTGGTTAAATCTGGCAATGGAAAAAGTTTAAATATTCATCAGTCAACAGTGAATGTCTTGTGTCAAGAATATGCTAGGCTTGGGGCAGGAATGTGTACCAGGATAAAAGATACCAAGGAATCTTTCTTGTTCTCAAGGAAAGCACAGCTACAGAGAGAGAGGAAAAGAAGAAGAGACAGAAAGTCAAATGTATCATTTGGACTCCTGAATCTAGCTGTGCCTAAAGTCAGCTCAACCCCTGGGCCTTTTAGTATTTGAGCCAATAAATTACTTTTTTTAGCCAAAGCTGAATTGAAATCCTATCACTTATAAATAAAAGGTCCTGACCATTATTCTACATTAAGCCTTTTATACATTTTCAAGACAGGGTCTCTGTCACCCAGGCTTGAGTGCAGTGGCACAATCTCGGCTCACTGCAACCTCCGCCTCTTGGGCTGAAGCGATTCTTGTGCCTCAGCCTCCCAAGGAGCTGGGATTACAGGTGTGCATCCGGCTAATTTTTAAATATTTTTGTAGAGATGGGGTTTTACTATGTTACCCAGGCTGGTTTCAAACTCCAGAGCTCAAGAGATCTGCTCACCTCTGCCTCCCAAAGTGCTGGGATTACAGGCGTGAGCCACCACGCCTGGCCCTTTTATACATTTTCTCTAATGGCAATGAAGAGCTATGGAAGGGTTTTTAAATAGGAGAATGACATCACAATGCTGGAGTTATATAAAGTTTACCCACACTAAAGTATAGGGAAGTAAGTTTTAATAAGGCAAGAATGGATAGGTACATTTGATTGCACTGGGGGAAACAGCCATGGACAAAGTGAACAAACACCCTTGCTCTCTGTTGTGGGATGAGACAATCAAGTAAACTACATGGTGTTTCAGATGCACTTGCTCTTGAAGTAAATGCCCTGAAGACAAAGAAGGTAAGGAAAGGGACAGAGAGTACCAGAGGGTAGGGAGGAATAGTTTCTATTAATTTTAAATAGGGTGATCAGGCAAGACCTCTTGATAAGTGGACATTTGAACAGAGACCAAAAGAAAGCATGAGAAAACAAACTTGTAGATAGCTAAGAGAAATTGCCCCAGGCAAAAATACAGTATGCTTTCTAACCCTGAGTCAGGGGTCAGCTTGTGGTGGTAGAGGAACAGCCAGAAGACTGGGCCAGCAGCAGCAGAATATGCAAGGAGTAGCAGAGTCTAGATGATGAAGAGCGTCAGGAGCCAGGGGAGGCTTTTGAGCAGAGGAGTGACTGCCCCAGGTTACTATTTAGAACTTAACAGAACTACTGAGAACTCTATTAAGAACTCAATAGTTCTATTAAGAGTAGACTACAAGAAAACAAGGCAGAGCAGTCATCCCGGTAAGCGACGATGACGACTTGAATAAGGGAGTAGTGGAGCCCTGGTCAAGTTCTGGATAAATTTTGAAGAATCAACAGGATCAGCCAGCAGACTGAATACAGAATGGTAGAAAGAAATCAAAGACAACTGCAAGGTTTTGAGTGTGAACAATTTAAAGGACAGAGGCACCATTTATAGGGATGGTGAAAATGAAGATAGCTTTAAATTTTAAAAAATAAGGTAACAGCAAAGATAATCTTGGTAAAATCAGTTTCGAAGGCATAGTGGGGCAAAATGGGAATGGGGTAGATATGGAAAAACCAGTTGTGAGGCCTCTATAGTGGTCCAGTTGGAGGGAATAAATAATACTTGGACAACAGAATGGCTCCAGGGATGGAGAAAAGTATGAGTCTGAGATATATCTGGAAGATGGAATGACTGGATTTGGTGACTGCTTGGATATAAGCAATGGAGCAAATGAAAAAGAAGAGCCAAAAATCATGCCTAGGTTTCTGCTTGTACAGCTGAAAGAGTGGTGATATATTTTTGAGATTATGAAGAATGTAGAAAGAATGGTGTGAAAGAAGAGTTTCTAGCTTCTTTCTCACACAAAGATTGACTTCCTTTGATGTTTAGGTACTATATTACTGGAACTCTAAAAATGCTATTTATATTCCAGTGACAAGTTTTAAGAACACCAATAGCGTGTTAATATCTGTGTTTCAAATAAATCACTCTGGATACCAGGCACATATTTGAGGATGGAGGAGGAGACGAGTTAGATGGCTGTGGCAGTGGTCCAGCTGAGAGGTTTTCAAGGCTGATGGTGTACAAATCGTCATTTCAAGGATACTGAAGTAGTAGGTATTGGAGGGGAAAACTTTTAAGAAATATTTGGGAGACAGAATTGGTAAGTGAATATGAGAAGTGAGGGGTAGGGATGAGTTAAGAGAACATTCAGGTTTCTGGCCTGGGGTGTTAGGAATGGGAGCAGGATTGCCAGGGGAAAGATTTGGACAGTCTGGATACAACAACGATCAGATAGCTGTATCTATCGGTTTTAATCTTAAAGGAAAGTCTGGACTAGAGAGGAGGACCTTAGAAATAGTTTGGCCTTGTCTCCTTATTGTCACAATTTGCCTATTTTAGTAAATCCTTTTCATACATCACTGTAGAATGAAGCAAAAATGCTCTGTGGAAAATATTCAATTATGACCTAGAAAATCTATACAGCTGGTCAACAATATATGGTCACCAATATATTATAAATAAAAATAAAACATAAATTTTCACTTCTCTAATTTAAGTGCTTTTAACTATGAAGGCAATTAGAACTTTTTAGAATTTAACAAAGTTTCCATTACCTCCCATATTCACCAGCGCTGCTCTTTGTATATTGGGTACCCAGCCTGCCCACAGCCCACGTATTCCTCCTTCAGCTAAGATTTTTGCAAATGCATGATGTACACCACGAAATCTAAGGAGAATAATAACAAAATGTGAAAACTCCATATATTCCTGTGTATGAAATGCAACTGGATAAGCTTCACTTACAGCTCTTATCATCTGGAGTAAGTAACATCCAGATATAATTTATCCAGAATTATTAGAAATTGAAGCAATCTACGTAAGTCTAATTTACAGATAAACATAATAATCCTTTAGGAAAAAAAGCCAACATTTGACTTAAACATTTTTAACGGAAATCTTTATAAACTGTGTCATCTTCTCAAGATTATTAAACAGATAAAAATACCTTTCTTGATATTTTATATTATCACTACACATATTAATTATAGGAGAAAACCAAAGGTTATCAGACTTCTGAATTAATTTTACTGGTGATGGAAGGGACCTGCAAATTTTTAGAGTTCATTAAATAATGACATTAACAACAATTAATCTCATAAAAAATGACAGACTAAGAAGTAAAAAGGACAATTTCATAATAAGAGTTCTTAAAATGGAAGAATTTTAGCTTCAAGAAAATTTAGTAGACTATCTTGCTCATTTCTCTCTAGATAGATGAAGAACGGTGCTGAAGAAGCATAAACCAAATACGGAATCCTCTGGCATTAAAAAAAAGTTTGAGCTTTATGCAGTCAGAAAAACCTGAAGTCAAATGCCACCTTCACCACTTACTAGCCTGTGTGGCTTTTACTCAGGCATCACACTCTCTGAATCTCACCAAAAAGACAATGTCACATATTTATTGCTGTTATGCTACATGAGAAGTTATGATCATGAATGATGATCACTGTAACTAAAATTTATGGAGCACTAAGTGCCAAGTATTTAATATACATGACATGCATTTTAATACTGAAAACTCATGAGATAGATAATATGATTTTAATTTACATTTGAAGAAACCAAGGCTTAAAATGGGCAAGGAATTTGACTATGATTACAAAGCTAAGATGTGGTAAAGACTGGCTTTGAATCCCAGGCTGTCTCATCTCGATGTTCATGCTCTTTACTATAGTATATAGACTTGTCCCCATTACAGGTTAATATAAAGAGTTTGATTATTAAAATGCACTACATTAGGTGTATTCAAACCACAAATTTCCAACATTAAGAACAGAGAGGAAAAAACTGAGGGATCACTTAAAAACTCAGATATTTCTGGATCCTAATAACCAGTTTTCTCCTCCTATCCAAGAAGGCAGCGTGACTTCTCCCTGTTACTTAGTCATTAGAAGTTGTTATAAGATGACAAACTGGGCCCTGGGGTTCTATAAACTACTTGGTTAAGTCACAGTGGTACCCTTTTCTCCTGTGCTGTGCATGTTCTCTCCATGTTTTGAAGGCTGAAGGGGACCCTGGGCTGCAGTAGCCCAGCCTCCTTTTCCACTGAGTCAGCTACACGAAGAGGGGCAGAGAGCAGTGGTCAGTGGTGAAGATGGCCCCAAACCCTCCTTTGCCTCTGGCTCAGCTGCAGACCTGGAGGGTTTGGAGGAGCAGCTCCCTTTGTACTCAGCTCAAGTCATCCTGTACTTCCCTTTTTTCTGGGAAAGGTCTATCCATCTGCATGATTTTGTCCCTCTCCCAGGGGAAACCAAGTAGTATTTTAATAAACTGTTGAACATGGAACCCTTGAAAGAAAGTCGGATTTCAATAATATAGTGTAATGCAATGGGAGGATTTTATATACCAAAGCCATACTTAAAAATTCCTTTAAATTAGGGAAAAAGAGGGCTTCAAGATGAAGAAGGAATTAGATTCAACAAGAAAGTTGGGACAATATGCAACGTTAACCCTGCTACTCTCTTCCTGCAGGGTGAAGGGAACGAAAGCAAGGTTTTTCACACTAATGAGCAGCCAGGCATGTTAACCATCATGACAGCCTTTTGAGGGAGTTTATAAAGATGAAAACCCAAGAGACCAGAAATGTTAAGTACTTCCACAACACCAAGCCACAATGGCAAAATTGAGATTCATACCAGGGCAAGTTTTAATAATCAAACTGTTTATGTTAACCTGCAGTAGGGGACAAGTCTAGCCTTGGCTGGAAAAACCAGCAAAGAATATCACACACATATAATTTGTCTGGTATAGAACATGTACACTTTCTAGTGCAAAGAAAAGATCCAGCTTAGTTTTCCTCTTAATGAACTTCCAAATTAAAAAAGTCAGAAGTAATATCTTTACTGCATATTGGATGATAATTCTACCAGGTACATGTTAAAAATAAGATGGTGGCCAAGGGAAAAAGAGAAGTATTGGTTAATTGGAGAACTTACCGCAATGGTTTTCCTTCCAGTTTCCTTTTTCCTTCCATTTGCATCTGAACCTTCACTAGGTCAGTTGGATTGGCTAAAAACTGGCCAATAACACCAGCCATCATCCCTCCAATGACTGATTTCCTAATTGTAGAAAGAAATTGTTTTTAAAGTTTCCATTAATTTCATGAATTTTACAGTGAACCAATACTGAGCTAGTACAGGGCCTAGGTAAGAGATTTCAGATCAAGTAAAGAAAAGGGCATACCCAAGTAAGTTACAGAGTAAACAGTTTGACTATTTACTGATGGGAGGTTAAAGGAGTATAAGGAGTGAAAATTTCAGGCCTTATATGGCCTGAAATCCAAAGGAAAGAGCAGTTGTTTCAAAGATATACACATCTGAATTGATAATTGTAGTTTAACTCCAACTACAGGGGAATCAAAACTGCGTAGATGTAGTCAGCCTAACAGACAAAGGCTAGACTCCAGTCACCTTTAACCCAGATTACTGCAGTAGTCTCGGGGAAAATAAATATTTTATTTCCTTTTACTTTAAAATAACTTGAAGAACTATAAAAGGGTATAAAAGAAAAGTCTCCTTCTGACCCCTATGCCCAGCTCCCCTCCAGTGAAGCAATCACTACTACTATTTTATTATACCCCTTGCCAGATATAATAACAAATTCACTGAATGCTCATGTCAGGCACTGTTCTGAGCATTTTAAAAATACCATTTAATTCTCATATCAACCCTCGTGACAGTGCTGTCATTCTCTCTGTCAGATGAGGAAACTGAAGCACGGAGCAGTTGAATGACAGCTCAAATCACACAACGAATGAGTGGGACAGCCAAGATGTGAATCCAGACAGCCTGCATGTAGAGCCCACAGTCTTAAACATTAAGTTATGACTGACAGTTTGTGCATACACAAGCATATCTGTACAAATGTTCCTTTGTAAAAGCACTAATATAGAATGTCAAGTTGTACAGTGTTCTACACTGTTTTCTTAACAGCATATCTTAAAGGTTATCCCTATCAGATCATATAGAGCAGCCTCATTCTTTTTAATAGTTCGATAGTATTTCATTTTATGGATATGCCATAATTTATTTAACTAGCATAATTTTAAGAAATGTGAACATTTACATAACATTTGCTAGAGCCTGTCAAATTGCTTTCCAGAAAACCTTTATCAATTTGCACTTCCACCAGCAACCTATGAAAATGCCTGTTTCTCCACACAATGATAAGCACAGTATCATATTTTCTTCTCTTTGCATCTCTCAAAACCACTCTTTTTCTGTATTTTTTACATAATTCTAATTGTTTATTCATCGACTGTTACTGTAAGCTGAATGACAGCAGGATTATTTCTTTTTCATTACTACAGCCTCAGTATTAAGTATAAGACTGGCATACCATAATTACCGAATAAATTGTTCTGATTGGGTCAAAAGGACGTTAAACCTACCCACCCTGAAAGTTCTGGTATAATATTTCCTTTGAACTTTTTACTTAAACCTTTGCCTTCTGGAAGAAATTCCAAAATGCAAGGACTATTAATCTTCTATTCCATAACTGACTTTGGGAAAGCAATTAGTATAGCTTAGTACATTACAATTTTTCAAAAACAGGATAAAGAAATGTGGCCTGAAAGGTGAAACTATATATTGCCCTTTTTTTTTATAGTTGTGACTTGGATTTTTTTAACACTAAGAAAGATTTTATAGGCATCTTTCCATGCTAGTCACATGAAACCTACCTCATGCTTTCGATAGCTGTGTTATGCCATAAATATATCATAACCTACTTAACTGCTTCCAATCAATAGTTTAAATTAAAAAAAAATTTCTATCATCAACACTGCTACAGTCAATATCTTTGTATCTATCTTGATGCATATGTAGAAGCATTTATAAATGATTATAATCACAAAGGGTTAAAGGATTACACATTCAAAAATGTTAACAAGTAATTTATGCTCCAGAAAGACTATTATAACTTATATTTCCACTAACAGCTTAAAGTTAGTTTTAATTAATCCCCTTGATTATTGGTGAGTTTGAACATTTTAATGTTTAATGAACATGTATATTTCTTTTGTGAACTGCCTATTGGAATCTTTTCCTTAGTTTATTGTGTTTTTTCCCCTCTCTCTCTCTCTCTATATATATATACACACATATACACACACACACACACACACACACACACACACACACACTTTCTCTCTCTATATATACACACACACACACACACAGAGGTGAAGAACAGTTTGGTATGTGCAGGCAGTGGAATCTTTCAGCTCATTAGTGCACCACTCTGCAAGAGAATCAATGAATTGCTTAGTTCTCTGAAGGCACAGGTCAGATTTTGCAGATCTTCTAAGTCACATTCCAAAATTTCCACTTTATTTTGTGGGTGATTAGAAGCCAGTGACAAGTTTTAAGGACACCAATAGCGTGTTAATATCTGTGTTTCAAATAAATCACTCTGGATACCGGGTACACATTTGAGGATGAAGGAGGAGACAAGTTAGATGGCTGTGGCAGTGGTCCAGCTGAGAGGTTATATATTATAATTATATACATAAAATTTTTTATTTTTATTTTTTATTTTTTGAGACAGAGCCTTGCTCTGTTGCCCAGGCTGGAGTGCAATAGTGCAATCTCAGTTCACAGCGACCTCCGCCTCCCAGGTTCAAGCGATTCTCCTGCCTCTGCCTCCTGTGGAGCTGGGATTACAGGCCCCCACCACCACACCCAGCTAATTTTTTGTATTTTTAGTAGAGACAGGGGTTTGCCATGTTGGCCAGGCTGGTCTCGAACTCCTGACCTCAGGTGATCTGCCCACCTTGGCCTCCCAAAATGCTGGGATTACAGGCATGAGCCACCGTGCCCAGCCTGTGTTTTCTATATTTCTATTTATTTATAGGCACTCTATGTATATTATTTATAGTAACCGATTTTTTCAGTTTCTGTTAAATAATATACACTTACATAAATCATCTCACCTAGTCCTATAAAAACACTTAATGGTTAGTGTTACTTCTATAGCTGTGAAAACTGAAGATAAAAAAGGTGAAGCAGTTTGTCCAGGTTATACAGTAGTAGAACAGGAATTTGAGCCCATCCCTGACTGACTCTAAAGCCGAGAGTTCTTAATAAAAAGAGAAATAAAAAGGTACTCTATAAGAATTCTTTCAACAGTAAAATATTAAATATCTCTATATATGCACCTTATATATATATGTACATGTATGTCTGTATACCATGTGCAGTAAAATGCTCAATTATATGCACTTATATTGTAATTATTTATTATTTTAAGTCCATAATTATTTTAAGGCAATTTGGGTACAAATGTACAATTTTACATAAACCTAATAAACATTAAGGCATTTGGGGCAACAGCATGTTATTTTCAAAACAAAACTTACCAAAGGGGATAATGCTCATCTTCACTCTTGCCAAACACAACCTCTCGGAGATGTTCATATGTGACCATTCGACCTCCGGAGTACACTGTGTAAAAAAGATCATTAAAAAGGTAACTTTGGCTACATGTATCTATATGCTTATGTCTATATAAAATAAGAGGACATTCCGACATGGCCTAGTCAATCTCTCTAGCTGTGTCTTTGTCTCATGGGGCCGATGCTTCTGACATGTGGGTTTCTTGATGCTTCTCCAAATGGGGCATGTTCTTTTCAGACTCTTGCCTTCCCACATACTGTCTGATCTTTCCAAAATGAATTCTCCCTTCTCTGCTTTACTAACATGTCCTTGTCTTTCAGGACTCAACTCAAAGACATGTTTTTCAGAAAGTGCTCTCTGACCTTTTGATCATATTGATTAGAAATTAACTCTTCTTGCTTATCTTTCCATCAGACCATGAGCTTCTCTAGGCAGGCTCTGTGTGTTTGTTTTTACTTACCCCAGGTGCCCTAGTACATACCTTGGTGCACAGCAGGTATTTTCATTACATAAAGATACATAATTTCATTGGAGAATTTATTGTAATTTTTCAGCCAAGTATCAAACATATGAAATGAATCTTAGCTGTAAAACAATAGAATGAACAACAAACTACAAATGAAAAGAAATGAAACTCAAAATAATAATGGGATGCAAAGGAGAAAATATTTTTAAAACGATGGAAAACAAAATAATTAAAATCAATACATGGTATTTGTATAGAGAGCTTTTCTTAATGTTTTAGAAAGTTGATGAAGTATTTTAAGATACTCAAAAATATACAACTTGCAAAACCAGTAACAGTCTCTGCACACAATTCTAGAAAGTTTTTGATGATACACCCTAACTGACTCATCTGGAGAACTGAGTCTTTAAAAATATTAAGCCAGCAAATATCAGAAATTAGAACTGAGCACTTTTCTGATCAAGGATCCTTTCATGCTTCAGGAAACATTATGAGGAGAAAAATGCCAAACCTATCCTACCTCCTTTGAAGCCAATTTTAGATTCTCCCGTACACAAGCTAAAAAGTCAAGTCCTCCTCTTGTGAGTGTCACTGTGGAAGCAGAGCAGAAAAATGTTCTCACTGGCATAGTTGCAACCATCTTCCTTTAAGGGTGACTAAGGCCCACATAGCTAGTTAGGTAGCCTTGGAACCGGGGCAAAAATCACCTGTGTTGCATTTACACTACAGCCAGTGTTGGATTAGGCAGTGAACTCTGTTCTCTTTCAGAGTAGCCTGGTCTTAGATTATGAGACAGAGACTCATGAGATTTGGCACTGTAATAAATATGTTAATTTTCAAAAAATATGAAAAATGTAAATGTGTTTAAAGTTCTTAGGTGAAGAAAAATGATATTGGCTATTCATTTTTTTCTTTCTTAAAACTATACAAATTTTTATTAAGAAAATTTTCAAACACTGAAGAGTAAATAATATATAACTCCCTCTATCTCTACCTATTGAGATTTATCAACCACTAACATTTCTGCTATATTTCCTTAACTGTCTAACTTTTAAAATTTATTTTGTATTCTTCTGAGACAGAGTTTCACTCTTGTCACCCAGGCTGGAGTGCAATGGCATGATCTTGGCTCACTGCAACCTCCACCTCCTGGATTCAAGCGATTTTCCTGCCTCAGCCTCCTGAGTAGCTGGGACTACAGAAATGCACCACCATGCCCAGCTAATTTTTGTATTTTTAGTAGAGACAGGGTTTCACCATGTTGGCCAGGCTAGTCTCGAACTCCTGACCTCACGTGATCTTACCCGCCTGTGCCTCCCAAAGTGCTGGATTACAGGCGTGAGCCACAGCACCCGGCCCAATTTAATTTGTTTAGAGATGGGGTCTTGTGTTATTGCCCAGGCTGGAGTGCAGTGGCAGGATCAAAGCTCACTGCCCCCTTGAATTCCTGGGTTCGAGGTGTTTTCACACTTCAGCCTCCTGAGTAGTGGGGACTACAGTCATGTGCCACTTTGCCTGGCTAATTTTCTTACTCTTTGTAGAGACAGGGTCTTGCCATCTTGCTCAGGCTGGTCTCGAACTCCTGGGCTCAAGCAATTATCCTGCCTTGGCTTTCCAAACTGCTGGGATTATAGGCATAAGCCACCATACCTGGCTTGCTTCATTGTTTTTTGCTTAATTAATATTTTAAAGTGGTTTACAGACTTCATGACAGTTCATCCCTAAATACGTGAGTATGCGTTTCTAAAAATTTAGGACAGTAACTTCTTAATAATAATTGGTAGTTAAGTTTTTTCTTCCTAAGAGACTATATGTGTTCTGGCCAGGCACATTGGCTCATGCCTGTAATCCTAGCACTTTGGGAGGCCAAGGCAGGTGGATCACCTGAGGTCAGGAGTTTCGGACCAGCCTGATCAATATGGTGAAACCCTGTCTCTACTAAAAATACAAAAATTTCATGAAGAGTTCAAGACTAGCCTGACCAACGTGGTGAAACCCCATCTCTACTAAAAATACAAAAATTAGCCAGGTATGGTGGTGTGCGCCTGTAATCCTAGCTATTCAGGAGGCTGAGGCAGGAGAATTGCTTGAACCTGGGAGATGGAGGTTGCAGTGAGCTGAGGTCACACCACTGTGCTATAGCCTGGGCAACAGAGAGAGACTCTCTCAAAACAAAAAAAAAGGAAAAAAGAAAAAAAATTAGCTGGGTGTGGTGGCGTGCACCTGTAGTCCCAGCTACTCGGGAGGCTGAGTCAGGAGAATTGCTTGAACCTGGGAGGTGGAGGTTGCAGTGAGCCGAGATGGCACCACTGCACTACAGCCTGGGCAATAGAGTGCAACTCTCAAAAAATAAATAAATAAATAAAATAGATAAATAAATAAATAATAAAAAAAGACTATGTGCTGTATGTGTTCAGTTATTGATTCAGTAGGAGAAAAAAACTAGCTTGTTTTTGGACAAACAGAAAAGCACAGGAGACAAACACATAACTCATAACAAACTTACCAGCTAGAATCAAGATAAATACCTACGTGTCTGTAAATGGCCGGTGTCACTCCTTGCCAAAGCTTTAGAAAGCCCTCCTCTTGAATGATCCCTAGGGCTGTGCGCACCATTCCCCTATAGGGGGCAGATTCTCTTGCACCGTCTCCCAACCGAGCAAGAGCTGCTTCTCCTTGCATTTGGAGTCGAGTTTTTGTGAGATCCAGGGGAAAGGTTGCTAACAAAAACACAAATGCAGGGAAAAACCCACAACATTCAGAGAAACAAACAAAAATCTAAAATTATAGGAGTAATATTTTCCCAAGACTGGTTGTTCTCAAATTTTAGAATATAACAGAATCAGCTAGGGAAATTTTAAAAATTAGAAATTTCCTAGCCCCATGCCCATGGATTCTAATTCAGTAGGTTGAAGAGAGTTTAGAAACTTGATTCTCACACAGTTCCAAATTTAAGAATCACTATGCAAGAGCATCTCGTACCACTGGCAAAAATAAAATAAAATAAAATAAAATAAAATAAAAATGACAAGCCTTGGGTTCTTTCTATTCAGAAATTTCACTTTAATATCTGTTAGTCATTAATTTTTGCTTTTCAATGGGAAATAATTTATCCATATTCTGTACCATCCTCTTGACTGCAGCCATGATTATTTGAGATCTAATGTAACATTAGAATACTGCACTATATATTCTTATGTACTACAATAAATGCTAGAGGAAGCTGAATTCTATAATTTCATGGATGATGTTCACATGCAGATGAATCACTGACATGATGTTTGAGATGCAGAAAATGTAATGGAGTTTATAATGTTGTCTTTTATATGCAAGGGTCACAAGCTCAATATTCTTTCAATTAAAGCATAGATGGAATTATTTTTCCAGCACTAAATTATATGCAAGGCCTACTCATGGCCTCCTTACAAGTACTAACTGTATTTTGGAAAAATTTTTTGGTTTTAAATTTTAAATTAGAGATAGGCCTTTTACCTTAATACAGTTAAGCTACATGGCCTACATAAGGAAGATAAAGCTCATAACTTTATAAAGAAACTGTCCTGAATAATTAAAATAATGACGTTCAGACAACTTCATGAACATTACTCACATTATATGAGACTTTTCAATGACCACCACCCGACACAAAACCTCAGTATACCTTTTCCAAGAGAAAACAATGTGGGGAAGGGAAGTGAATATTAAATCTTACCACTGGTTTTTGGAAAAGTTAGTATCTTGCTGACAGTTTCCCTAGAACAGAAGTAGCTTGCATAGACTTCAAACAATGTTTTATTGACATATGAAACCTGAAAAATCTTAATAGGATTCTCCATATTACACAGATTATGTCTTTCAAAATAAGTTTTATTTTCTTGCTGGTTTCCTAAATGATGCTTCAGGTTCCTGAAGTGATTTGTACTTAAAACCATCCCACATTTTGATTTCCATCCACTCTCCCCACACCACTCTCTCCATGAATTTTTAACGAGGAACAGCCCTGTATAAAAGCCATTGAGTCGCAGGGGGGACATATCAGTTAAAAATAAAACCTGGAAATATCATTCAGCAATCTGCTTTTAGATCTTTTAAGCTGATGAATTTTATTTCAGTAAAAACAATGAAAATTAAAAATTCTCCATCATTTTCGAAAGGAGAGACATTAAAAAATAGAGGGGCTAAAAGGCAAAATGGAAGAGCACAAAACAACCGATCATGGCTGGCTATGCTAGAATTAAAAAATAAACTCTTAAAATAGGACCAACTAACATTTACAAATGATAACGCATCAGAACTGTTCTTTTTATTTTTTTGTAACAGGCAAGAAAATATAAGGGTAATCTTAAAATACACAGTTAAGGCTTCACAGGAAACACATGAGTACACTACTCACAAAATCCTTGGAATAAACGCTACTTGCTCATTCAAGGGCATCATCATTCCGCTCTAGATGGCCTCTTAAAGTTTTTTCTGACTCATTTAGGCAGATGTGGCTGCTCTTCTATGCTTTTATGACACCTAATAATATCTTCATTATAACAAGTAGCACATTATAATTCTCTTTCTCTGTCTCCCCAGCAGCCTGTAAGAAGGTCAGAACTGGGTCTTTTCAAATATATATCCACAGTCCCTGGTATTGTAGTAATTATAAAAATGTCGCAACTAATTGGTGTGCTGCCTTGGGTTTAGCAATCATATATTATTGACTTCTCAGAATCCTGCAAGGCAAACAGTATAGATGAATTACACTCAGAGAGGTCAAGTAACTGGCGGATGCTTAAGTCAATGCTCTGTGAGTGGCAGGTTAATAACGGAAGTCCCACAAGGTAGGTCCACAACTTGGACCCACAAGATAATGACAGTGTGGCTGTGTAAGACTATAAACCACAGAGATTATTTCAGTAACGATGGAAAACAGATTACGTTTTTAAAAAGGTCATCCTCATGAAAAGGAAAATGATTCCTACAGAGGAATGACAGCTGGCGAGGCTTCTCAAAGTACAACATTCAAGCACCACAGCACATGCCTAAGGGAAGCATTAGACGAGATTAGAAGGAAAAGGCCGTGGAGACCTCAATCCCTCCTCCTCCCACCGCGGGCCTGGCCTCCACCACCACCTCCGCCAGGCGGGCGTGGAAGGGGCGACCTCTCCGATGCGCACTGCCGGGCGCCAAGCCGCCCGCGCTCCCTCCCCCAGCGCGGCGCGTGCCACTGGCCCGGGAGGCCCAGGCGTGGGCAGCCGGGTACCTAGCTCGGCCACGGTGGCCGCGCAGCCGGACAGTAGGAACTTGCTCGCTCGGGGCCATCTCTGGGTCAGCGGCAAAAGCCTCTCCTCCTCCGGGACGGACATTCAGCAGCAGGGCAAGGCGAAAACGCACCCCTTCTCGCCGCTGCACCGCGCCGCGGCTGCCGCTTCCCTGCCAGGGCGGCCCCTTTTCAACCGGCGAGTGGCCGGGTGAGGACCATTTCCCTCGTTCGGCTCGGCCGGGCGGACCCGCAACCTTCCTAGCAGTCCCAGGCTGGAGTGGTTCAGCTGCCCCCTGCACCCCAGAATAGGAAAACACAGCGGAGCCCAGGAGGTTACTGGGCAATGTAGTCCGCCGGGCTCCGCGACGTCTCTGATTGGCCGGCCGCGGGGCCCGCTGCGGCTCCGCCTCCGGTCTCCATAGCAACGCGACTAGTTCTAGCCCGTCAGTCCTAGCCCTGCCCTGCCCCTCCCTGCATTTTTTCCGCGCTGGCTGAGATTCAAAGAGAAGTGGAAGTGGGAGGGAACGACAATGCAAAAATCACCTAAAAATTGGGACAGAGAAAGGAAGCTACAGTTACGAAGGAGAGCTGCAAAAGTTGCAGCAGAAAGATTGAGAGTCCTGGCAGGTTCCGTAGCCCGTAAAAAAGAAGCAAGTGCCTGGACGGCAAGACTATTTCACACTTCTCTGATTCTGGAAGGTGCCGGACAAAAACATGGAACTAATTTTCCCAACAGTGATTATAATCCTGGGTTGCCTTGCTCTGTTCTTACTCCTTCAGCGGAAGAATTTGCGTAGACCCCCGTGCATCAGGGGCTGGATTCCTTGGATTGGAGTTGGATTTGAGTTTGGGAAAGCCCCTCTAGAATTTATAGAGAAAGCAAGAATCAAGGTATGTGGTCGTGGCAGGCGGGGTCTCCAGAGGAGACTCTGCTTTCTTTTTAAAATTTTCTTTCATTGGCTCCTAAGTGCAGTGCTAGAACACGGGGAACATACCTGCTTGCCTCAACTAAAGGATCTAGTCATTTCTGAAATCCTCTACTAACAATTAACAGCAGTATTCTGTGCAAAATTTTGCGAAAGAAATGACATACAATTGCAGCCTGCATCTACATTTTTGGAAGTAGAGATTAACTTTTCATGTTTTTACTTCATCGAAGTTCCAAATGTATACGTGTTCAGTAAATGTTTGCAGTAATTGGGAAAGATAAAGTGTAATCCAATTTAAGTTTGTGAAAATGAGTAATTCGTATCCAAATCGGAGTTAACACCAAAGTATTGCACAAATTGCTTGCACAGTTGGTTCATACAAAATAAACAGGCTCTGTATTTTTAGCTGACGTTGTTATTTGATGATGATGTGCTCCATTTTCACTACGGCCTGAGGAGACTAGTAATCTTCCTTGTACTAGATGTTTTTGTTTTGAAAGTATCTTTTAAATGTCTGAGCACTTTAAGGAACAGACCTTTATTAATGTCTTTTAAGTTAATTCAATTTAAGTCTTTTATTCAATTTCCAGTCACAAAGATTTTATGATATTTGATTGTCTAATAAATTTGTACCATATTAATTATCATTATTCTTATGAATTATAATACTTTCTGTGGTGACCCGTTTTCCTTCTGGTTAGCCCAATTTGTAGAATTAATTTATATGTAGTAGCATTATTTTGCCACTGATCATTTACCTTCAAAATCTCTGAGATTCCAATTTAGTAAAAAAGGTATAGAAAATTAAAGAGAACTAAGATGAAAATAAAAATAACCCAGCATATCACACCAGAAATACTGTAAAAATTTAGTGTATTTATATTATTTTGGTCTTTTTCCTATGTATTTACAACTATTTAATGAACAACAATGGAATAATAGTGTAATACTCTTTTATGTCCTTTCGACTTTAACATATAATGTTAATAACTTTCCTGTATCATGAAATACTTTGAATCTTCCTTTTATGGCTATATTTTGTCATAGGAGGATACACTAGTTTACTTAAATCTCAATAGTTGGGTTTATAGGTTGCTGCCAACCTTTTTTCTTTCTCTCAACCAATGCTCCAGTGAACATTCTTGGGTGTGTGTGTGCATGTATTGATTGTGTGGTTGTACATTTTGCATTTATCTGATTGTTTACTCAGAATACATTTCTAGGAGTAGAATTGCTGAGTCAAAGGACATGCACATTGAAATTGTTTATATGAAGGTGTTACCTTTGGAAAATGGTGTATGAATATGCAATTTTTATTTTCCATTGACTGTATGGAATTGCCTAACTTCTCATATCCTGGGCCACACTGAATGCCATAATTCTTTGCAATTTTTGCTTGTCTGATAGATGAAAAATTATATCTCCTAAAGAAATACTCCTTTGTCTCCCACAGCCTTCTTTACGCATATAATTTTGATAATTTTTAAGGAATGTTTTTTTACAAGCTTGTGTCAGAAGGCTAAATATTTGTGAGGTCTCTGTTGCTATCCTGACTAAACAAAACAAGTTATTGCTGGACTCCGTGGCTCACACCTGTAATCTCAACACTTTGGGAGGCAGGGATGGGAGGATTGCTTGAGGCCAGGAATTTAAGACCAGCCCGGGAGATATAGCAAGACGTCATCTCTACAAAAACTAAATATAAAAAAAATTAACCTGGTCCAGTGGCACACGCCTGTAGTCCCAGCTACTCGGGAGGCTGAGTCGGGAGGATTGCTTGAGCTCAGGAGTTCCAGGTTCCAGTAAGCTATGACTGAGCCCCTGCACTCCAGCCTGGGCAACAGAGCAAGACCTTGTCTCTTTAAAAAAAGAATACGACTGCTTTACTTGATGTTTTACTACTAAAAGCTTTTAAGGTTCACCCTTGCCTCTTCTTGTACCCTTAATCTGGGCAGTATGATTTGAAAAAAAAAAAAAAAAAAAACCAGGGTGCTCCCACCTTTGGTGCCAGGAGAGATTCAAACCGCACAAACCCCAACCTTCATGCAGGAAGGCTCACACCAGCCTACCCCCTAACCATAATAAAACCCTAAGACCTGTCTTTCTTCACTGTTTTCTCAAATCATTTTCAGATCAGCTTGAGAGGACTGCCCTACTTTCCCCAGAGAAGTCTCATTATGTATGAAATAAACCTCTTCATACCCTCTCGGGGGGTCGGGGTGTGTGTGTGTGTGTGTGTGTGTGTGTGTGTGTGTGTGTGTAAATGTAGTCACTGTCTTGACATCCAAACCAAATCTTGGGTGGGAGGTTCCATTCTGAGTTTTTGCAGTGGCTGCAACAGGTACTCAGTAGACTTGATGCGAAATTGCATCTAAATGGCAACCGCATAAGACACTACTTATGGCATATTGAACCTTCAAGAAAAAACTTCTAAAATTCCATCATTAGCTAATACTCTCAGCTTCTCATGCCCCTCTAGAATACTGAAAAGAGACAACTTTGGTGACCACAAAATAATCTTCGTATTATTTGTATTTAATCTTTGAATAGATTATGCATTTATATGGTTCAAAAAATTGTAAATATAAAAACTACAGGAAAAGTCCCTTCAACCTCTGTTTCCCTTCCACCCAGTTCTCACTCCTCACTCCCAACCTTGGCAACCCTGTAATTCATTTCTTATATGTTGATTCATGTTTTCTTTAACTGTATACAAGCAAATAGAATTATAGAATTATTTTCCACCTTATAAGCAGAATATGTCATATTATTCACACTATTCCTTTGTCAATAGGTATTTACTCTTTACATATTAGTACCATATAGAACTCCTAATTCTTTTCTTTGAAGATGCATGGATATGGCTGCATTTATTTAATAAGTTTCCTCATCGACAGACATGGGGTAGTCAGATTTCTAAGATAGCCTGCAATGATCCTACAATGATTCCCTTGTGTAATCACCTCCTTTTGAGTGTCAACAAAACCTAGTGACTCACCTCTAATGAACAGAATATGGCACAAGTGATCTGATGTTACTTCTGTGATTAGGGCTTTCATCTTGATAACAGACTCAATTGCCTTCCTAGTTTACACTCTTTGATGATGAGAGCTGTCATTATAGAGAGGACTACAAGGCAAGAAATAGAGGGAGGTCCTGGCCAGCCCCAGTAAAAATCAAAGGTCTTCAATCCTATAGCCTGTGAAAAACTAAATTCTGCTACCAACCGTGTCAGCTTGGTAGTGAATACTACTACCTGAGTTGAGCCTTGAGATGGCTAGAACCCAATCTTTAGTTACGAAATTCTATTACAAAAGAAAAACCCATATTGCAAACCTGATACTTTGTACTTTATAATTGAGACAGAGGATTTTGTTTATGCTTCAAATTGCCTGGTTATATCTGTCTTTTGTTGATTAAAATTTACCATTTTTTAAGAATGAGACATTGATAAAATTTCTGGCACTCTAAGAAAGTTATTTTAAACACGTAATAGTATAGACTATCTGCAGCTATCTACAAGTATCTATTTGTTGACACAATGGAGGCATTATTTGAAAACACAGTGTCCCAAAGTGTACTAGGCTGAAGTTTGGTATTTTGTAAAAATATTCAATAAATAGTTTAAGTAAATTGTTGGAAAAATATTGGCTCAGTAAAGCATCATTATTTTTCAGGTTCTAATCAGGGAAATGGTGTCTACCTCCCACCAACAGGTGTAGAATGTGAAATTCTGAAAATGTGGGCATAGGATCTAAATGTCAAGCAGTCTCCAAAAAGATAAAGTTCCCTACAGTAAAATAGGTAAATTAGACAACTTCTGCAGTTTGTCTGCAGAACAGCTCTTGGGAAGGGTACCTCCTTTAAGCCACTCCAAGTGATATTTGAAGTCTTACCTGTAGTCATCTATGTTGAGTTAAAATCTACTTTCTCTTGTATTATTAAAGCTGCACCAATTTTGTTTTGGATACTGTTTGGATAATACATATTTTTCTATCCCTTTCAATTTTTTGGAGTCTTTATATTTTAACCCAGTCTCTTGAAAAATAAAAGGTAGATTGAACCAAATTAAAATAAAAATACAATGTATCACAGTTTCTGTCACTATGTGCTTATATTAGAAAAGAAAAATCTGAAATTGATAAACTTTCAAGAATCATCTCCTTCTAAAAAAGAGTAAAATAAACCCAAATAAAGCAGAAGGAAGGAAATAGTAAAGAACAGAAATCAATGAAGTTGAAAATTAAAAAAATAAAATAAGGAAAATCAATGAAAGAAAGAACTGGTTTTTTGAAAAGACCAGTAACATTGCCAGACTTCTTGCAGAACTGATAGAGAAAACACAAATGACCAGTGTTTGAATGAAACAGGGAATATCACTGCAGACATCAAAAGGGATGATAAGAAAATACTATGAATAACTCTACAAAGAGAAATTTAACAAGTTA